TAATTACGGACCACGGTGCAGCAGCGCAGCGCTGCTGGAACAGCTGGCCCATCCCCGCCCCACCGCCAAAAGCAAACAACACCACCAGCCGTGACCCAACCGGCCGGCCTAGTGCGGCTGCCTCGTTGCTTTTTCCTCTTCTGCACCTTGACCCTCGAGAAAATGTTCTGAATTTCCTGCCCGGTCGAGGGTGACCAATGAGCGGACGCGACCCGAGTCCTGGTGATTGGGCAAACCGAAGCGCCCTTCCTTCTCCTGCGGAGTCCCTCAAGGGCCCTCGTGTCTGGCCTCTCCACACGCACTTCGGGTCTCCGAGGACTAGGTAACTGGGTCTCGGTTCTGCACGATCCCCTGAACCGCCCCGGCAGTCCTCCCTGTGTCCACTGACAGATTCCTTCTATGCTTTTTTCCTTTTTCTGTTATGCCTCTGATGCCATGAAGCATCATCGCTCTGTACTGTCGACCCTGCCCCCCCTGTGCCGCTTGTTGTTGGGCATCAACAGATGGACTACGGGCCCTGGCTCGGTGGCTGAATCTGTACCGGTGAGCCTCTTCTCAGGTCTAAGGTTTGTCACAGACGACTGGACGGCATATGCCGCTATCCCCGGGTGTTCGTCAGGGAGGTGGACCACGCCTGAACCATGATCAGCAACGGTCGCCAGCTGGCACGGACAACGACTACGACTAATAAAATGCCTTCGTCACATCTCACATAGCCCAGATCCTTGTCCACAGCACTCCTCTAACAGCTTTCACATCGTACCGGCAAGAACAGCCGTAGCCCAGGCTCAAAGCCACTAACTTCAAACAACCTCAAGTTGGCAGACCATGCTTCAGCTGCTGAAGATAGGATGCTGAACACTTGGAGAAATTGGCCTTCAAGCAGGTCTATCAAGCAAGAAGTCGAGCGAGGCGAAGGCAGCAAGAGCGTCAGATGAGAAGGCAGATGGGTGGTCAAGATCAAACCGTTTGAAACTGTAAACAGCTTAGCGTGTTTTCGGGCCCTATGAGGTCTGTCCTCCCGGGCGGAGTAAATTTCATTCATTCAACTGTGTTAAGCCTCCCGTCAGGTCACTCCAGGGATGTCTGCCCAATTAAAATGTAGAATCGAAAGATACATCTTTCCCCACCAAATTTAGCCGTAGATAGAAGTCCCGATAATATCTCGAGTTACTTAATAATGCATTTTTAGATTCCCCTCATGTGGGACCCAATAGAGCCACGGGTCCGTACACTCACGGGTCCTCTATTAGTCAGCATAACCCTAACCCTCTGCCTTGCTGCCTTTTCCGTCTCCCTTCTGCTTCACCGCCTGATACTTCATCATATCTATCCTTACTTACTACTATTAACAAAATGAACTCTCTTCCTCCTCAACAGTGGTATTCATCACAAGAAGATCTTATTCTAGATCTCAATATCTGGGCAGCAATCGGAGGCTATAAATTTATAACCAGAAGATCAACTACAGAAAGGTCTGGTCGACTTACGGTTACCTACGCATGCAATCGATTTCGCACTGGCTGCCAATTTTCAATAGTAGCCAAGGAAGAATGGAGTGGAAATTGGCTTCTTAAACATCGAACCGAAGCTCGATTTTGTCAACACAATCATGAGCCCCAAGGCAAACCACAAGACAAGCGACAAGACGAACCACAAGACGAACCACAAGACGAGCCTCAAGCCAGGCCGCAAAACAAGCGACAAGACAAGGGGCAAGATGAGCCACAAGATGAGCCGCAAGATAAGCCAGCAAAAAGACTACCTACATGTAGCAAATGTCATATAGTAGGCCATAGAAGAGGTGCAAAATCTTGCCCATTAAAATACAGAAGCAGCCCTTGATAGTTGTGATGGAGTGGTTATAGGCGGTCAGCGGTGAGGCGAGAATATTACAGTGGGTGTTGCTGACTAAGCGTAGGGACCCGTGGCTGTACGGACCCGTGGCTCTATTGGGTCCCCCCTCATGTAGCTGCTTTGTAACAGGGGTTGTGTGGGGCGAGGTACATTTGGGAGGCTTAGCACAATTGAGGGGATATCAACATGTGATAAGCGCCGCGTCAAGCTAGGGTGTGACAAGGACGGCTTGGGAGTGTCCCCACAAATGTGTCTCAGATTTCACCTTCGTATCTCCGCGGCCCCTATGAGAAAGGACTTGTGTAGTACAAGCTAGAAGCAGCGGCGGGGAAGTTCTCGATGTGTGTGTAAGCTGAGCGGGCCGAATCGATTGACAAAGGGTAATCACAATGGGTTTGATTCCATGGCAAAGCCGTCTTTTTCTCTTTGCCGATGTCTGCCTTGTCTCCTCCACTTTCGAACCCGAAGTCCGGGTGAGAACCGAACCATGGCCCCGGCGAAGTGGGGAATGCATGCAAGTTTGATCACCTCGCTACCCTGACCGCTGCGGCGGCCTTGTTGCTGCCGTCCCACAGGCTATTGGTGCAAGATGCTGTTTTTGGACTTGCAAAGGGCCAACTTCTCTCATATCTGGTCCCTTTCAAACAATCTGCAAGGCCTCGCCCTTCACTCTCCATCCACTATCCAGCGCGAACAATCAAAACCACCCCCAGCATTAGCGGGGTCGTTCCCACAGAACTGTCGACTGCGAGAAGCAAAGTACACTTGAAATGCCGCAACCACAGCCCTGGAAGTCAGAACGACCCTGAATCAGGACAAACCTGCAGGACTTTGCGGATCCTTTCCCCCGGACACATCGCCACCATGCCCTGGCACGGCAGAGCCATCAAAATCCGAGATCGTGGTGGGCGAAGCAGCCCCTTTCTCAACGTTACCCAAAGGACCGGGACACATCGTTCGGGTTGGGCCAGTTCCAAGACCGGACTTGGTGGTTTTGAGATGCCTGTTGGAGAAGGAGGGTTTAGGCTACTAAGAATCAATACTCGGAACGTAAAGTATGTTCTTTCCCTGCTCGTCATTGAAAAACGGCTTCTCAATTTTTATTTTTTTTACTTCCGGTTTAGGAGGAACATGCCAGGAACCAGACGTGGATGGTCCGTGCCTCAAGTTTACAACTCACAACTGAAAAAGCAAGTAAGCCAATAATCAACTGCAGAACCCAAGCGATGCAATAAGCCGTTCGGCGAGCCAGAAAGCTAAGAACTAAATCAAGCTGCTAGGAGCGCCAAAACCAAACCCCCTAAATAAACGGCGGAGTTCAGATGAGAAGCCGGTAAACAAGAGAGAGCTCAAGAGAAAGGTCAAGAAAAAGATTAAATCATCAGTTCATCAATTTACTCATGCGGCAGGTAATCATTAGACCCCGTGTATGCCATGGCCCCTCACCCAGTATCTACCAACCGAAGGAGAGAACGCAGGCGGCAACAAGTAAAGCCCAGCGAGAACTGGCTCGCCTCCGAAACCAAGTCCCAACATCACCAAGAATGGGTCGCAGAACCCATTTATCCAATTTGTTAATAGCCCTCCTCAGCCCAACCAAAGCTCTTTTATCAAGAACCCATCTCCAATTGGCGAAGCTTCCCTCACCCAACACGTTCCACCAAAGCTCCAAAATAAGTTATCCGAAATTTGCTATGGCGCTCATCTTCCACCACAAATCAACATTAAGGAGTCCCGCAATAGTGATGAAAGAAAATTCAGACCTGCTTGGAGAACATGTCATCCCTTCGCCCTAAAAGTGCCATTGTTAATGTGCCTTTTCTGCAAACGTGCCGTGGTGGAGCACGCGAGATGCCCCTCACGGTGGGGGGGGATGCCATCCTTGGATTAGTGGGCAAGGGCCGCCGCTTGATCTTGGGTTGCCCGAAAGCTTCGCTCGAGAGCAATCACCAGAATCTGCCCGTGACTGCATCGCCTCGTCCCTCCTTGCCAAGATCATCGTGGGCCTAATGTCGCTGCTGGCTACGCGTGGCGCCGGGTCTCCGAGGCTGTTTGTCGGCCTGAGCGGCTTGCGGTGAGCACGCCCGCACACCAACGCCAGAGCGGACAAGCTCCAGCTGGCCTCACAGGTGGTCACTCAAAAAGGAAAGGGAGTAAAGCCAGTCGGGGGTTCGAGACTGGACCGCTTTGACCTATTAGAGGGAGCAGGCGGAGGCCAAAGCGCGAGAAAACGCAAGTTCACGCTCTGTTTCAGGGCGCTGGTAGCTCACGCGTGGGACGCTGGGAATCACCAAAGCTACGAGAGCATGACATCATCGGTCGATCAGCGCCGTTCTACCAATGCCGACAGCTTTTCAGGCTTGAGGTTCTAAGCCTTGTCAAGTAACTGTTAGGACAGAGTGACTTTGATAAGAAATAGTGACTATTAAATCTCGGGCTGACATTGAGATTAGCCCTGAACACATTGTGCCTACCTGTGTCCGGCTACGATCTAAGCGCGACGACACCTCTCAGTCCGGCATCGATCCGAAGATTGTTTATGTGAAAACAACGTGCTTTCAAGTCCGTGCATTGAAGAGGACAATCCGTAGTTAGCGCTTGGATAAAGTTCTCAGGCTAGCCTACTACGGTGTCTGCCCCGGAGCTTTCCGTGTCGACTTAATAGTACCTCTCTGTTTCGTCCTAGAGCATACCTCACCTAACCTTGCCCTGCATTATCTTTCCTCGAGAACCGCGGCCCTCAATTCCAGTTGAACGAGAGCTCGCATCTTAGTGGCTCCTGCCCCTTAGCCAAACTTGCCTCGTTCGCTCTCTTCGCTTCTAGCTTGCACCTGCCGTGCTGCCACAGCACTGCTCACCTACACACCTACCACCAGCTGCACCACACTCCCTTTCGTCTCACTTACACCCGCGACCCACCACTTCAACCGCAAGCCAACCCAAAATACTCTTCAGCAAGCATACGCCAGAAACGCAAGACCCCCAGCATACAGCATACAGCACACAGCACACAGCAGACAACAGAACGCAAGGCAAGGGGGCGAGCGCAGCACAAAACCCCTAGGTTTCCTGTTGACACAATTTCACCAGGGACCTTGCTCAACGACGTCGTCTCGGTTCTTGCATATTTATAAAGGCTCAAGTTGGCCAACGGGTTCGGCCGCCCTGAGCGGTCCTTCGCCAAGGAGAAGTCGTCGACTGTTTCTGCCGAATCTAGTGAGCCCGTGATCCAAGTTACTGCCCCTATCACGGAGCCTCAGTTTCCCTGGCCCTTTTACATTCGCCCCAAGTCTACTCGCATGGCTGCCCAAGAAGAGGTGGGAGTGAAGCAGCCTGCAAGTAGAGTTCCTTCTTTGCCGGAACCTGTTTCGCCTCACCGAAATGGGTTCAGTCAACCGTCCTCGATCACGCACCTCGCGCCAGGCCCAAGCCGTCACTGCAACGCTTCCTCCGACCTTGGTGGCGACCGTGGTCGCCAATACTTCCAAAACAAGAAGCTCCCTGAACTCCCTCAAAGAAAGTCACCCACGCGCGGCCCTTTTCCCGAGCCTTTCCCAGTTCTCGACTCTCAGTTGAGAGATTCCAAGTCCATTGACTTTTTCAACAAGGCCGTATGCAAAGATATTCGTCGCCAACTAGCTGAGACTTGGGACCAGTCCCAACTCCGAATGACCCCCAGCCATCCCAGCCTGGCGCCATCACCCAGCAGACTGTCACTCAGCAGCTCCATGCTGCGAGAGCCTGATTTCAACGACTTCCTCAACCTAAGCGACGATGACATTGCTGAGACCAGTCCCGAGAACTGGACCCCAGACCAGAACGCCACTGCAGCTCATTCGACGGCTCCCTCCATAACCGAGTCTCCTCGTCAATCTCTTCTCATTCTGCCACCGTCATACCCGAGCCAGACTGCCACGGCTGCCGCCTTTGAGACCGCTAGAATTGCCGACCGCTACAATTTCGACCTCGTCTATGTCGTCAATCTTTGGTGTCCGGAGAACTTTCGGCCTCGAAGTTCTGGGCCGGACCTGGGTGACGCAGCCTCTGTCAACTCTAACGTATCAGCCAAGCCGTCGCGGGGCATGACGGGACGCCTGCTCGCTGCCTATGGCTTACACAATGTCAACTCGCCCTTCCAGATCTCAGCTATCGCGCATGGAAAGATTCTCCAATCCCCAGGCTGGATTGAGCACCGGAATCAAGAGGCGCGAGATGACGAGTTTGGTCAAGGCTATGCCTGTTCTTTTTACACGGGACAGTACTCAAGAAATGGCGCCCCCAGCTCGAGTATCTCTTCTGCGGGATCTGCAAAGACAGATCGCGGTATCGTCTTCGCCGCGTACCGGAAGCCTAGCGTTGATGGAAGCCTCGCCGGGGTTGGATCCAGCCAGGTCGATCTAGTGAGTATCTATAAGGACGCTAAAGCGCTAGTTGAAATGCTCATTGACATCCACATCGCGAACCGACTTAGCCAGCCCCTATCAGGGTCTCCGGGCTCTGATGAGACGGGGTCGATGCCTGAGCAACGAGCTGGTGTCATTTGAGAGAGAAGTACCTTTGGCCAATGTCCTCCATCTTGGAGCACGTTCTTACGATGGGTTTCCTTTTTTTTTATTCGGTTTAGACCCAGCCTCAACTTACGTCGGCCTGAATACTTTCATTCTCGGTTTCTAGGCAAGATTTCTCTGGAGCGGATTGCTGTCTTTTTCCCCGGATGATGGAGAACAGGAAGAGACAAGTTGGCTTAGGAGACTGCGAGGCTACGAGCACCTGGTTGACACATCGAGGACTAGCTCTCCCAGCGACGACGCAGTTTCTGTTGCAGAAATTTGTGCAGGCAGGTAAAGCAACAGACAACAGGAGAAGTTGCGGGCAACTGTTGAGCCCCATGATAATGTTTCCATACAGTACACACACACACACACACACACACACACAATTCTATTACGCCCGGTAGGCCATGCCCAAAGGGCTCTAATGCTATGATACATACGCCTCCGAATGTATTGCCCTGATCTCACAAAGGCCCCTGAGGATATCTTCTAGTCCTGATTTGGTCCACTCGACGCTCTTTCTCTTTATCCTCGCGTGGGTTAGTAGCAAGTCAACTTGAAGCCTGGTTCCTCTAAGTGTTCAGTTTCCTATCTTCGGCGGCTGAAGCAGTGCCTGCTTTTTGATTTTACGAGGATTTCACAGTTAGTGTTAGTCGATTTAGTGGGTTAGCGGGATTTGGATCATCTCTGATCGAGGCGACCCGTGGCAATCGCGAATTTGATTGTCGCTCGTACAGCGCCCATATCTGGTGACCACTCCTGTCCATTTGACGTCGCTTCCCTCCCAAGTAGAAGGAGATGCTACCACGTTTTGTGTCCGTACATTGAAGGATTCCCTTGCGGTGTGTTGTCCAGTTGACACAGCGGAAGAGAAAATGCTCTACCGTTTCTTTTGCCCGTCCACACGGGCATTCATCTGTCGGAGAAGCTCGAATCTGATACAGATAGCTATTTAGTCGGGCCATTCCGGTCCTAAGCTGTGCCAGCACGCTGGCCTCGTTCCATGAAAGCTGGTCGTATAGCAGACGTATATGTCTTCCAGGCAGGGCTGAATCGACTCTTTGGAGTGTCCACCCACCCCTTCTGGCAGTGTTCTTCCGCTTCGGAGCTCTGCTCTTGTACAGTTCGACTTTCGGAAGGGGTTGGACAGTACTCGAAGCGCATCGACAAGGCGCTGCCGGGCAAGCACACCCGTGCGCTATACGACTCGCTAAAAAGAAAAGAATCGGACGTGATAGCCCAGCTTCGGGCCGGGATGATGCGACTGAACAGTTATCTTCACAGGATAGGGGCAGCGGAATCGGACATATGCGATTGTGGACAAGCAGCAGAGACGATTGAGCACTTCCTCTTCCGATGCAAAAAGTGGACAATGCAACGGGAAGTCATGTTTAAATGCTCACGAACAAAGATTGGGAATTTGTCGTTCTTCTTGGGAGGACAAGCTGCGTCGGATAACGAAAAGTGGAAGCCAGACATGCAGGCCGTGAGTGCGACAATCAAATTCGCTATCGCGACAAACAGGCTCGATGCGGACCGTCGGCCATCGGCAAACTAACCACTAGCGTGCGATTATACTAACAAAAAGCCGCCTCAATTTGACAGACCGTGCTTCAGCTGCTGAGGATAGGATGCTGAACACTTGCAGAATTTGACCTTCAAGCAGGCCTGTCATGGAACAAGCAGCGACGAGGTTGAGCAGCAAGCGATGAGACGACGATCCGTGGGGCTTGGGGTGTCAGGTACCAAATGTACTGAAATGTGAACTAGATTGTGTCAAGGAGTGTCGGCGGAACGATGGTGCGTGCGTCGTGTCGTAGTCTGCGACGGGAGCCCCGTCATGACTACTCAATTAGGCTTAGCTCTTCCCTTATCAGGTTAGACCGTTGGAGCTCCAGGAGCTGGTTGCCAATCAATCCAATCCAGTCCAAATCTTCGAGAAACCTAAATCCAGTCCAGCCATTTTCCGTCCACTCCAAGTCCAATGCAAATTGCCTCCAACCCAATTACATCACTGAGTGAACCATTCTTATGAGGTTTTGACAGCTGTAAGTATAGCATCACGTCACGGTTTGAAAGACTAGGACATCAATCGAGACTTCGGCATGGCGGAAGAAGAAAGACTGACGGATCAGTCAAGATTCATTAAGGTAAAAAAAAAAAAAAAAAGTAGAAGCATCAAAAACCCTCCCAGGTCGCCCAAATCACCGTAACTCCCATACTCATTACCACGCTTCAACGAGTCGCGAGAGTTCCATTTCCAGCCTCAAGGGTATCGTTAGAGTCAATAGAGCATCGTCGGTCCTTAACAAACTTTGGCCAAGTGTTAGTCAAGACAAGGTACTTAATGCTTCCTTCAGCGTCATCAAAAATCGTGGCATCAAAGCCGTCGGGGATATCACCCCAGTAGAGGGCCTTATCGCCAACGTGCTCCGTATCGTTAATCGACTCTGTCATAATGCCAGTCTCGGATCCGTGGGACGACGCGGAGGAGGATTTAATGTTGGTGGCGGTCATCGCAAAAGAGTCGAATGGTGTGGCCGGGTCAATCTGGCGCTTCTCGCCGTACAGGATGCGGGCAGAGCTTTCGAAGACAGCCTTCAGCTTCTTCAGGTCTTGTGAAGACAGGTTGATCTGAAACTCGGCATCGCGGGAGCTGACAAAGTTGGTATAAATGCGGAGAGCGCTTGTGAATCGCTCGCGGACAAGCTCCTGGACAGCGGCATTCTTGATCATCTCGGGGTCGCGAACAGCTGGAGGCAGCGAAGACTTCCACTCTGCGACAGCTCTCAAGAAGGCGATGTTCTCACCAGAGAAATCTCGAAGCGCAGAGAACTGCTGGAGAGGCTCGGGGTTTCGCTCAAGAACGTACTCAAGAGCTTCCATGGTAAGGATACTCTCGCCAGAGCCATTGCTCTTGACGGAGCCGTCCTTTGACCAGGCAGTCAGGGCTGAGCCAGCCATAGTGGTAGATGCAGTAGCGATATACCTAGCACCGTCTTCGACAGGCTTCGTGTTGAGCTGCCATTGGGCGATTGAGTCGAGAGTTTCCTGTCGCAAGGTCTGGTGCCTGATGACCTCCCAGCAGGGCAGAAAGACGGTAAAGATCTCAAGCATCATGATTGAGACGGCAATCCTTCACGCAGTTAGCCTTGCATGTTCCATGCTTGACGGATATATGTCGAGATGGTTTACCATTGAGGAGGAACCCAGACGTGGTTTACGGGGGCCATGGCAGGGACGTGTAAAGCAATTAGCCACATAGGGGTAGCATGAAGACTGTCTGGATTAGTGTGGAGTCGGGCATATCCTTCTCAAGGGATACTGACCTGGCAAGGCAGCAAGCAATGGTTTGGGCTCTCCATCCCTGGGTGTCGTTGATACCACGGGCCTTCCACAGAATGTAGGGGGCGACGATCCATGCCCAGAAGAATTGCCAAAAGACGGACGGCCACCTAGTATACAGTCAGTATCGAGTTAAATCTCGGGGGAATATTAGACGTACCATTCCCAGCCGCGGCCCGTCTGAGACATCTGGTAGTCCTCGGTGCCAGTGACCTCAGTACCCGGGATGCCAAAGGAGGGATGAAACTTTCGCGAGATAAGGAACATGAAGATTGTGAGGAAGAGCTTTGCGAGTTAGTTATGAATCAAGTACCGCAATGCAGAATACAATTCGTACCTGGAAAGCCATGCCGGCGCCGACAAGGACCAGAATCTTCTTGGTGTAGTCGAGCGATTGGAAGCGACCTTTTAGCGAGCTGGGCTTGGATCGTTGGGTCTTGGACGGATCTTTCTCCATAGCAAAGAGCTCCTTCTGAGTCTTGGCGACATGGAGGAATCGACTGTTGGAAGCGTGGAACAATGCAATACCGAAGGGAAGATAGGTGCTCATGACCCAGAATTCGAGCTCGGGCGTAGCGAGCGGGAAGTAGACGTAACCGGTTTGGACGGCGCCCCAGTAGAGATGGAGAAGGATAATAGCAGCAAACGATAACGGCAGGCCTCGAATCCTAAGCAAAGGCATATCGCGACGGCGCCAGAGGAAGTACATTCCGCCTGCGAGCATGAAGGTCCAGGCGAAGGTGAAGGCGATCCAGAAGATGCCGAGGGCATCGAGCCGAGGCTCGGCCTTTGCCGTGTCCTTGGAACCTGACTCCGCCATTTTGTTGTGTAGGTTAAAAAACGGGGGAATCGGGGCTCTCAAAGACGATGGATGTTTGAGGGAAGGGAAGCAAGTAATGAGCGTGGTGAAAGGAATGTGTGGTCTCCGCTACAGTGCAGAGAAGCGGAGATGACGATGTATTATGTATTGTGGGTGATGAGATGGGACGGGAGCGTCTGAGAGAGCCCCAAGCGCCGTGAGGACGAGCAAACAAGCCTAGTCAACCACCACGAAGAGAAATCAGAAATCGCGCGGCCGATAACCCCGTAACCCCCTGGCGCCCGGTACTTGGCATCTGGTCGGGAGCCCGATCACTCGAGCTAGTCCCTCCCCCGATCGCGTCGATCCTGGCCTCTTCTGAAGTACTATGTAGGGCTGCTTTAACCTTGGCTTTCCGATATGTCAACCCACCAGTCCGGGAGCTGGCAATATTTGTCGGAGGAGACCCCAGCTCCCCGTGCTGGGCGCTCAGACGGGGACGTGCAGCCCCTTACCGACAGAGAGTGTCAAGGCCATGGATATGCCAGCGGAGGTCCCCTTGCGCAAATGCAGATCGTCGCAATAGCTCAAAGTGGCCGGCAGCATGTTATTGCTTTTCCAACAGCGCAAGGGCGGCAGGCCGTGGCTGAGCCAACAGGCAAAGATCTGCAGCAAGACGATGGGCCTCCACCAACCACGAGGCCTCTTTCTTGTGACTCTTGAGCTGGAAGTCGAGGATTAACATGCTCGGCTGCCCTGAGAGCCAATGCGGCCCTTGTGGGAGATTGTGCCCAACTCTGTTAAGCCACAGCATGTCGGGTGTGCCGGCTCGTGTTGTCCTTTTTGCTGCCCTCAACTGCACTTTGCTCACTGTTTACCAAAGAGCCAATTCGCTCAGGACTCTTCTGGCGCCACCATGACGAATTTGTGACTGCTTTTTTCTTTACCGTGGCGCAAGGTGATTGCTATTCTTCGTTGTGACGACGAGAGCCGGGCGTCGGGAACCCCGCTGAGACACGGGAGTCTCACCACAGCACGCGGGAAACGACAACGCTCGTGATCTCTCCCTTCTCAGGCGGAGCGGCCGTTTAGCTGTCTTGAGCTTGCAACGATGATGGGGAAAATAGAGCTACCACATGTTAGTTGCCACTGGGGGGGATCTCTCCTAGTTGGTCGTCCAGTAGTCAACATTCCGGGTATAATGCACAGACAGGCAAGAAAGATGTAGAAGTATCTAATGCAGAGGATAGTGATTGATTTTAATTGATTTCAGACTGTGGTTATTTTATGATGAAGTTTGAGGTAAGAGTGTAGTTTTGTGGCCAGCTCGCTATGCATGTACGTTACAACTTGGGTTGACTAAGAAGATAGAACAACTAAAGAGAACCAGAATGAGATTTAGGAACGCAGGTGAATGAAGACAAACAATCCCGCGAACTCCCAAGTCCTGATTGGGAGACATTCTGCAGACTCTAGTCGACAACCTTCAAGAGACGGTTATACAAAGCTTTCCTGACCGCTCTTCAATGAGATGACTAGCGATGTGGAGGCTTCCTCAAGCATTCAACAGATCTTGCTTGGGCACTGAGCCTGGGGCGCGCAACCCAGCAGCTCACGGAGAAAAGAGACAACATCGACGAGACCGTAGTTACACCAGCAATGTGGCACGACGCACATGAAATGAAGAAGTACTGTTTTGGGAAAGCCAGCAGGGTTGAGTTTCATTCATCATCCCTCTAACTGGCCGCCTAATGTGATGAACCCTGCTAGCATGGGGGCTTCTCGGTCTGCATGGTTCCGGGCCAGCATAGGCTTGACCGGGTAGGGTGATGGAAGCACTCGGCTGGATCCCCGACGCCAACAATAGGTGGTCAGCGGTCAGGCCAACCCCTGGCCCTAGCCTTGTTTCCCCAATTATTCTCGCTCGTCAGTCTCATCCATCTGAAACCCTCATCGAACCGCCTCCCCGGACACGCCCCACTTTCGGGGGGGGGGGGGGGGTTCACTCCACAAGGCGGCCGCGCTAACTCGATCCTGTTGGTAACACAGACCACGATCCTTGCCATCCTCCGATGCTCCCATACAGTGCTCCGAAGAGTGTAAATAGTGTGTGTGGACACCCCAAGCTGCTCCTTTAGTGCGTGTGACTGGGCGACACTAAACCACCAGTGCGTTGAAACGGCCACACTAAACTGCCAGTGTGCCTGCAAGGCCCACAATGCACTGTTAGTTCGTCTCTCACTTTCACACTAAACCATAGTGCAAATCATGGTCTGCACTATTAGTGTGCGGCCATGGTGGCCCCTGTGGTGGATTATGCCCCAAACGTCTGGATGTGTCGGAAAGCTAGCGTGGCACTCTGATGATGTCAATCGTGTGTATTATATGTGTATATCTTCCCATCCTCTCTTCTTCTGAGGTATCAGACCAAGCTTTATATACCCGTTCTGTGCTGTGTAGAATCAACTAGAAGCTGATTCCTAAGCCTTGTGGCAAAATGCTAGGCAACTGATCACATGACCCACCCGGTATGAGGCCAGGTACATGGTCCAATCTAACAGGATGCACGCATGTAAGTACAGAAGGGCCAGCCCTATTAACTGAGCCCAGAGGATTGGGGCATAAGCGATCGTGGGAATATTCCTCACGGTGGCAACACGCGTAGCAGAAGCAGAGGCGCATATCGCCAGTGCACAGCAGGCTTTCTATCCATATTCCATATTCCATATGGAACGATTCCTGTATGGATTACGAATTTCTCTCCGTATGGAATACAAAAAATGACGTCATCGTTTCTCATACGAGTCGGCCTCGGTTGGGACGTAGGCGTGGTTTCTCGCCATCTAGCCATACCATCGTCGTTCTCTTCGCTCTCTGCTTCGATCAATTCAACTGGGATCCCTTGTGTGATACCGCTTTTAATCCAGCTCTTCATGCATTCCCCCTTTTCAATTGTGCCACTTCCTAGCTGACATCTATCCCAGGATCAGGGATGGACATCGAACGAACGGGAATCGAATCGATAGATTCATTCGATGCCAAGTCTTACGAATGTCGAATCGAATTTCTTGGCATTCGATTCGATGTCGAATCTGCGGCGTGCCCATTCGATTCGCATCGAATCGAATGTGACATGTCCTGTTCGATGTTCGAATACATCGATTCGAATGTGGGGCATCCTATTCGACATTCGAACCGTACAGGTCACCATATGATTCGACATCGAATCGATCGCCCCCACCCGTTCGATCGAAAATCGATCGATTCGGTCGAACAGAGAGACGCGATGTGCGAATCATGACCAAGGGGTGGATTCAGCGCGATTCGCAGACGCGTTAAGAGGCCCCTGGCACTCTCCTCGACGCGAGAAGTGCAACGCGATCAACACTGACAACAATTCATCTTAATGCTAAGATGTGTTAGCAAGTACATAACATGACCCTAAAAGCCCATAGCATACTAGGTACCCTGCAACTACAGCAATCATCCCTGTCACGACCCTGTCTAACCGCCCCCCAGCCCGGAACGGATTAACGCGCCGGCCACCGCGAATTGCCAACAGGTTTACCAGTTGGGAATGACTCCCATGGTCACAATCCCGACAAACAACCCACCAGCAGGTGCTTTACAGGAATGTAACGGACAACCCAATTTAATCTTGTAATAAAACACTGAGTCGGTTTCTATGAGGAATATATATTTGTCGCGTGGGGGGTTGAAGTATGAGTTATTGTTGCTGTAAAATACAACCTCCCAAGTTAGGAGGTACCAAGGTCGTCATATAAAGTAGGTGGGGCTTACAGTAGTTTTTAACGCAGGAGTATAGGGTATGTTTGTCCCAGTAACAGGCCGCTATACAGAGAGGGGGATCACCAAAAACACGCCGCTTTTTCTGCAGAATAATAGGAAGGAAGCAAAAAGAAAAGAAAAGGAAACCAAAAAAAAACTGTCTCCGTATTTCTCTCTACTAAAAAGTTTTTACTGATGCCAGCTTTGGCATGATCAGATGAATATGTCCGGCTCGAAGTTTTCACGCATTGGCGAGTATGGGATTCATGATCTTCCTGCCCCCCTCTTTAACTTTTTGGTTGTCTCGGGGACCTGCGCCTAAAGCCAGCTTTGCCTGTGAACCGATGTACCAGCGACTTCACAGGTGCATCCACTTAGAGCCTCAACTTCAAGTCCCCACCGTTCCGCCCCCTCACGTGAACGGTTTACGAAAATCTCAAGAATCCATTCTGAGTTGACGCCAGATTGGAATGAGCACAAATGCAAAGCCGGTATGGGGACTCGGCTGAGGAACGGGATGGCTTTTTTTCAAGGTTGGCCCGTAGTGATGCGTCTGTGCTTGTGGCATGAGCCAATAGGAGCCTCTGACGCAAGTGGAACAGGGAATATATGGAATCTTACCCCGCCGTCTGTGGACCTAATCAACGAGACCCCGATTTGGCTGGTTGCCAAGTACTGAGAGCTTGGTGGAGCGGCACTTGGGAGAATCTCCGTACACCAATGGTCGGAACAAAGTTTGGCTTCTTACATACAATGGCGGCTTCACGCGCGACTCTCTCGCCTTGGGCGCGCCAGGTCGTCGTTCGCGCTGCTCGCGAATGCATCATTAATCGCACAAGACTTTGCATGTTTAGCGGCAGTGGAGATGTCGCGAATTTCGCGTTGACGACAAAATGGGCGTGATATACGCGTGTTATTGGCCTCAATGCCTGTCCAGTCAGTGATGGATGGATGGATTTAAGTTGAGCCTCAGTGCAGTCTCAATGGCTTCCAACAACCTCGACCCACGCGACCCATCTGTCCGACTAGCTAAACTAACTGCATCATGATGTCCTCCGAACCATTCTCTTTGAGCCCTTCGTCCTGGAATCAACCAGGTGTGATGGAGCGCGATGAATTCTCTTCTTCGCCAGCCGCCCCGTCTCCAGGAACCTCGTTACCAACGACGCCATCGCTCCGTCCTCGCGGGACTGCCGCCGATTTTATTCAGGTCGATTGGACACTCTGGGGCCGCCAAGAGTGGGCCAAATGGCCCGGATTCGAGCTTTATACTGGCGGCCAAGACACGAGGGCATGGTGGCAACAATATGGGTATCGCGTTAAGGACCGTTCCACCTCGCGGCAGGGAAATAAGCTGAAGTGGATCTGCGCCGACTGCTTTGCCCGAGGTTTCAAGAAGAAGTCGGACTTCTGTTTCGTCTGCTCGACAGGAGTCGCCATCAGGAAACACCTACTCAAAGCCCACGGGATTCTTGTAAGTGTGTGCCTCTCATCTACGGTTTGATAACGTGCTGATTTGGCAGGCCCCGAACAAAGTTGCCAGCCCCGTGGGGGGCTCATTTCTAAATGACAGGACCATCACCGACTTCATCGATGCCGACTTCAATAATCCCCACGACCAGTTTCTTCTCAGCAAGCTGCGTGGAAGATTCAGCAGCAAAGGCCTCCGAGTACTCCTCCTCGACTGGATTACCTACCATAACCTGCCGTTCAACATTGTCAATACCGAGCGGTTCCAGCGGATCCTTCTCTACGGCAATCCCCTCCTTGATGTGACCCACATTCCCTCTGCGAAGACGCTGCTTCGCATGCTCGAATCCGAGTATAGGGGTGCCGTTGGGCCGGTAACCGAAGTATTGCGCAGCGCTCGATCCCAGATTCATTTCTCCTTCGACGGTTGGACATCCAAGTCGTACACTTCGTTTCTTGGGATCAACGCTCAATTCATTGATAACCACTTTGTCCAACACCGAATCCTCCTTGGGCTTCGACCTCTCTCGGGCAGACACAACGGTGCTTCACTTGCCGATGAGGTCGCTGATACGCTCGCATTCTGGCAAATCAACGACCCGGACAAGGTTGGCTACTTCACGCTGGACAATGCTGCCAACAATGACACCTGCATGGACGATCTTGCCTTTGAACACGGCTTCTCAGCTGAAGAGCGACGGATCCGCTGCGCTGCGCATATCTTCAACCTTTGCGTGCGGGCAATGCTATACGGTTCGAAGCGAGAGAACTTCGCGGCAATCATCGCTGCCGATGGTGACGATCAAGATGACGATGAGGAGCTAGTTGATCAAGCTATCGACGAGGCCCTGGATGTAGAAATGGAAGACGGCACGGATGAAGACTTTGAAGCGAACACTGCCGTTGGTATCCCAGAAGAGGACTTCCTATCATCCCACCCAGCCCCGGAGGAGATCAATGGAGCCACTTTCAGGGAGTACAGCCAGAACGGCGCCCCAGGAATGCTTCACAACATCGGGATTCAGCTGCGAGCGACTACACAGCTGTACGAGCAGTTTCTTCAGTCTCAGCGCAAGGAATCCGGCCATGAATCAACACTTCACTGGGTCTTCAACAATGCCACCAGATGGAACTCGGATATGCGGATGATGGAGAGGGCCCTTCGTCTCCGCCCGGCTCTCAATACGTTCTTCAATGACGTTCAGAACCGTTGGGAAACCGAGGGTCTTTGTGACAAACCGAAACCGGCAGTTCTGCAATACCGCTTAAGTGCGTACGACTGGAAGGTTATCGAGGTGCTTGTCAAGCTTCTGAAGCCTTTTGAAATCGCCACCAAGCAACTTCAGGGCGACGGTATTCCCGACGCGAGGTCGACTTGCGGTAGTTTCGATGAATACTTCCCTGTCTTCGAGATCCTACTTGACCACCTCGAAGGAGCTATCGAAGGCACAATCTTTGAAGAAGTTGAGGATCCAGTGAGCAAGGAGAAGAAGGACGTCGAAGTCGCCATCTACGACGGGCTCGATAGCAGAACCCGTAGATTGCTCAAGGTCTTTATCAAGCTCGGATGGAAGAAGCTGCACAAGTACTACAACTGTCTGACTAGCGCAGCTTATGTCGGCGCTGTTGTCTTCAACCCGGCGAAGAAGTGGCGCCTTCTCGATCAACTGTGGTCTCGAGTGCCTTCTCGTAAGGCCAAGGGTTGGCGATTAGAGTACGAATCCCAGCTCTTGGAGATCTGGGAGAGTTACAGGGAACGCGAAGTTGACTACGAAGTCTTCGCTACATCTGACGAGGCCTCAATGGATTACATTGAGCGGAGACTTGCCAGGAGTGTAGCTGGGTCGCCATGCGCCCAGGGTTCGTCCTTGGCAGTGTCCAGTGCCCGCAAGAGCACCCGAAAGACGAAACACACGACAGCAGGAGCGACTGCTGATGACGAATATGCTCGGTACTGTGCTGAGGATGTTGTCAACAGTCACCACTACAGAAGCAGGCCGATTGACTGGTGGAAAATCAACAGGAATCGGTACCCGCGACTGTCTCTGATGGCGGTTGATATGCTCACCATCCCATCGTCGTCTGCGGAGAGCGAGAGGACATTTAGCAGTGCAGGACGTATGACGGCACCGTTGAGAAGTCGGCTGAGGAGGGAGATAGTGGCGATGGCTCAGTGCATTCGATCATGGAGTAAAGCTGGGATCTACACGCCTTCACTGCCGCTGGTTAGCCTCAGTGATGATCAATGGGTTGACGCACTTGCGTCGCTGAGGGGGACGAGTGACATTTAATCTGCCTAGTACCTGCCTTTGCACAATTGACGATGTTCTGCGATGTCTTATCTGAAGCCGTGATACCTTCTAAACCCGCTCTGCACCTCTCACCACTCTTCTGTCGGGGTATGACGGCATGACGGCCTGGTGATGATGACGACGGTCCATTTGGTTCTAGGTCCTATTGGTGTTTCGGTCTCCGCCGGGATTAGTTCTACGTTCGATCGAGTTCGAATCGAATTCGATCGAATCTTGGCATTCGATAGATATCGAATCTACGGAAGACATGTTCGATTCGAGTCGAATCTACGGCACAAGAATTGTGGCGCGTTCGATTCGATACGAATCTGCGGGAGATGTGTTCGATTCGAGTCGAATCTACAGGACAAGAATTGTGGCACGTTCGATTCGATACGAATCTGTGGGAGATGCGTCCGATTCGATTCGAATCTACGGGGTCACATTCGATTCGAACGCCAAGGCTTGGCGTTCGATTCGATAGATTCGTAAGATGTCCATCCCTGGGTTACCCCTCATGCCTGTTCCTGGTGTGCGCCCTGAATCTCCTTCTTTTCCTGCGACATAACACCGACCTGGCCATCAGAACGGCGCTCCTCAATGATCTCGTTGGTCTGGTGTCGCCATGTATGTGGCATGCCCTTACGAGTGAAGAGGACGTCCATATCTTCGAGAGAGATGCCCTTGGTCTCGGGGATGAAGAAGAAGACAAAGAACAGGCCGAAGACGACAGAACATGCGAACAAGAGGAATGTTCCGTACTTTATGTCGGCCATCATGTAGGGCGTTGAGTAGACAATTGTGAATTGACCGAGCCATTGGGCACAGGTGGTGAAAACAAGGCAAATTGAACGGATGGCCATGGGGAACACCTCAGCGCTAGAAGTTCACAGATGTCAGGACATACTCTTATATATGTCATTGTAGAAAGGAGCGAAAGCTTACCAGAAGATCCAAGGAATGCCGTTCCAGGAGATTGCATAGAAAACAGCGAAGATGTAGACCATGACAATAGCCACGTACGCGGCAGGTGACTTCTCGCCCGCCGTGACGCCCGAGTCGAAAGAACCAGACAACTTTGAGTAGATACCAAGATAAAAGAGCGCCAAAGCTGCACCTGCTGACCCGATCATCAGAGACTGGCGGCGGCCAAGAGCATCAACGCCCCAGATCATGTACAATCCTGTGGCAGAAGCTTTCACGATGCCAAAGATGCCAGTTGCCAGAAGTCCAACATTAGTACCAGTAAAGCCGATAGACTGGAAGATCGAAGGAGAGTAGTAGTTCAGGGCGTTGATTCCTGACATGTTCTGGATAAACATGAGGGCGATACCCAGGAGCAGGCGTGACCTGTTGGCAGGGAGCACGACCTCCCGCAGCTTAGCTAGGAAACCCTTGCTAGCTCCAAGGGCGTTCTCATCTTCGATCTGCTGGAGGACCGAGTTGATCTCCCAGTTCAGATACGGGTCATCAGCGGGCAGCTGACGAAGGCGCTGAAGAACTTTGCGAGCCTGCTCGGTACGGCCAGCGTTCAGAAGCCAACGAGGAGACTCGGGCTGGAAGAACATGCAGATGATCAACAGCGTGCCGGGAATAACCTGCAGTGCGAAAGGGATATGCCACTGAGCATCCGAGTCTGCCGGAACATGAATATTAACTCCGTAGTTGACCCAGAAGCCTATGATCTGAGAGAACTGGAGGAAAATTTCGAATATGCCGATGAGGCGACCACGAATGGCGGGAGGACCAGATTCGGAGATGTAGACAGGGATGATCATGGAAGAGGCGCCGACCGCAAGACCTGTTACCAATAAAAGATTAGTCTCTCTCTGCTGAAGGCATAGAGTTCAGCAGTAACGCGTAACTCACCAGTGAGAACCCGACCAGCGTAGATGTAAGCCAAGTTGCCACCAGAAACAAGCTGCAAGATAGCGCCGAGGTCGAAAACAGCACCGCACATCATCAAGACCAGCCGACGACCAAGCTTCTCGACGAGGTAATAACAAAGAAGAACGCCAAAGAAGCATCCTCCCTGAAAGGTGCTGACGATGTTGGCCTTGAGAGCGGCCAAAGCAGTTCCGGTTGAGGTGTCAAGGTTGAAGCGGCTCTGGAACGACGGAAGAGACATTGTACCTCCTATTGTGAATGAAACAATGCTGTTAGGACATAATACCGAAAGGTAGGGGCCCCCAAGGCACAGGACTAAGGATTATCAATACCTATGAAGGCCGAGTCATATCCGAACATGGAGGAGCCCAGAGCAGCCGAGGCAGCGAGGGCATAGATCCTCCAGTTGTAGACCTGGGGAGGCGCTGGGTTGGCCGAGTTGTCTTTCGGCCGGGCGAATATGCTCTTGACCATGATGGCGTCGCGTCCTGTAAATGCTTGGAGATGGGCAGACTTCAAATCGGACGAGCGTGTGATCGGTGAAGGAATGAAGATGATGTATCCGGAGAGATGTAACCTGGAGAGAGGAGGAGGGTTGATATGTGTCTTTGCGTCCAGGGGTTGCTCCCTTGAATCCTTGACGCGCCCCAGATTGCTACCCCACGTAGTTCGTTACCCCAGATGCCTCTCCTGTTTACCCCAGATTTTAGCGGCATGACTCGCGCGCAACTCATTTCCCAGCCGGCCACATTCAAGCTATTGCTGGCGGTGATGACCTTTCCCGTCGGTGTGGAAAAGTACAGCCAAGACGGTTGAGGTTTTACCCACCCATGGACACGACTGTATTGTCGGATGACTGGGGTTGTACTGGGTTGCTCGATGATGACAAAAAGTGTAGGAATTGACATGATTTCGAGTGATATTGCCGCTCGAATTCCCAACCTTGAAATCCAGACTCGGAGAAAGACAATCACCATGGGCGACATCGTCTTTGAGAATCACCACCGTGAACCACGTCGGCAGACCTTCATCATTCCGTTGACGTATTCCGACATCTCTCTTGGGGCTACCGAGATCCAGCGAATCAGCTATGGCGGCGATATCTGGGAGATGCGAGTTGACCTCCTGAGTCCTTCGATGGAACCCCTTGGCTCTAGCAATCTCCCACCGCTTCATATGTTCGGAACCAAGTTCAACTACTTCAGCGTCTGTCAGAATTGCCTATTTTGTTCACCATTCGCACGGTATCGCAGGGTGGCAAGTTTCCCGATACCGCCGAGGAGGAGGCACTTGCTTTGATGCTCATGGCTGTCGAGGAGGGATGCCACTACATGGACGTGGAGATTGAATGGTCTCGCGGTCTTATCGATACACTTGTTGCAAAGAAGAGAAATACGAAGCTGGTTGCATCATTCCATGGCTGGACTGGGGAGATCCGATGGACGAGTGATACTCTGCAAGAGAAGTACGCTTTGGCCGATACATTTGGCGGTGAGTATGTCGGACAACTACCTGGGATATCAGGGCTTGCTAACATTGTCCGAGACATCATCAAGCTTAGCATCCTATCTGTGGACGTATATGACTGCCATGAACTAGCCTTGTTCGTGAAGAAGCACCTGGCAGAGAGCCCGAAGCCACTACTGGCAGTTGGCATGGGCCAACATGGCCAACTCTCGAGAGTCCTGTCGCCAATCTCTCTCGTGACGCATAAACTACTCCCCGCGCCGTCTGCACCTGGCCAGTTGACTCTCGCGGAGGTCCATACTGCGCAGCACCTAGTAGGCCAGCTACCATCGCGTGAGTACGCCGTGGTTGGTCCCGAACAATCTGGAGAAATCGTTGGAAGCATCCTTCAGGCTGGGTTCAGAGAAATCGGCCTGCCTCATAGCTGCAACTTTCTTCGAGATGGGAAAGTGTTCCCTCAGGCTATTCAGAAGCCCAAGTTTGGTGGAGCAGCGACGGCCAGCTTCACCGGCTTCAATCGTCAAGACTTCCCTGGGGACATCTCGGAAGATGCGCAGAGTATTGGTTCTGTCGACACGATACTGTTAAAGCACCCAAACACGGCAAGCAAGCCAGCGTTGGTTGGTGAAAACCTCTCTTGGAGAGTAATTCACGAAAGTGCGCTGCGAGCCGGTCTACCTAAAGACCCTTCAGACTCACCTGTGGTTATGTTGGCGATGATCCCGTTGCCGTTCGTTCAGCGTGTCTTGCCGCTGAGAAGATCGGATACAAGACTGTTCAACTTTTGGAGTCGAACCTAATACAATCTGTAGCAGCAGACTTCCCCGGCCTCGACTTTGCTAGTCAGAAATCGCAACCCAGCTTGGTCATTTGCTGCACTAAATCCGCCGAGTATTCCAGCAAGCATGTTCTAAGTAGGCTCCTGAGCGACTCTCCGGCCGGCGTTCTAGTTGACTTCAGCGAAGAGTCAGTTTCAGCAAAGGTCGTGTCTGCCAATCCTGGGTGGAAGGTCGTTGGGAAGAGGGAACTGCTGGCTACACGAGCGTGTCTCTTGTTCTCTGCATGGACTGGGCGGAGGGCACCAGAGGTGGTGATGCGTGAGGTTGCATGATCAAGGGACTCAAGAATGCTATCCAGTAGCGGCTTCTTACAAACAACACGTTTATGGACTTTGACCACCATGGCTTATGACATATTGAAATTAATCTAATCATTGATAGCCCGCCCAAAATCTTCAGCTTGCAAGAAGAAGCTGCCCTGGTCCACCATGTTCATATCTCCAACTCCTTCGAACATATGATCCTCGGCGACGTTGAATCCCTCCACCGCTGCCCCAACAGGGGTAGTCAACTTATTTAGTCGATGATACGCATCATCGTCCTCGGGAGCATAAGCAGAGTTCTCTCTAGCCACTATTTTGTAACCAGATATCCCGGCAGACCCAGCCATGGCAAACTCAGCAACATCTTGCTCGCGATTCTCGGCTTCCTGGGTGATTGCGTCGCTGAACATGGACCTATCGGCGGCGGCGTCGCGTCTTCCAGCTTTCTCGTAGATGAGGATGTACCAGAGCAGCTGCGCATCAACGGACCAAGAGAACTCGCCCGGGCGGCCGCTTTGGGAGGGGGATGGCACTGTAGTAATGCTGTCCTGCAGCTTGCGCAGATTCTGGGTCTATATGAGAGTAGTCAGCACCAAAATCATAACCTCGTGGCCGTGGGCATGCAACATACCATCGAGAAAACGAAAGGCCAGATAGCTCGCATGCGATGGAGGAATCTCATGCACTTATCATAACCGTTCGGTGCTCCAAACATCCGACGCGGCAATGCAATGTCCGAAGTGGACCAACACTCATGACATTACGCTGATACAAACCCGCGACAAACTGGGCAAGTTTGGTACCCAAGTATACCAGGGAATCAGTAAGGATTAATGTAGTCAGTTCTTTGGGTCTTGTGCATGCAATACCTCGGTCGCTAAGTACATTGATTTCACTCATGAATCCTTCGAGAACTACATTCTATCACTTTTGGCCAGCAACCTTTGGGGCCATTCATGGCAGCACACCAGATCTCGGTGTCTCGGAGTCTTTGAGAGAGGTGAGGACAATTCGGGTCATCCAAGCCCAATTGCTCTTCTTCAGAACCCGAAGCTCGATCAGATTAGACAACCCGAGACCGTGACCTTGCTCGGAAAGAGTAAAAACAACGGAACAGTGCATCCCAGATCATGGACGCCGACGCCTCGGAGCAGTCTATCCTCGACCGCGATGCCTCGGAGTAAAAGAAGTAAATTAAATAATATATTATGAATATTAATTAATTAGGGATTAGACGAGACGTATCCGACCAATGCGGAATCGCCCGTCACGAGTCCTCTCTAGGTCTTCCAAAACTTCTCCGATGGTCGCAACTTCAGCGTCAAAGATGTTGCGGCCCACTGCGCGGAGACGTCGTCGACTTTGTCGTCTCGGGTTGCTCTGGCGTCGCTGAAGACACCAGCAGATCAACCCTGCCGCCGCTGCTGCATAGTAAGAAGCATGCGCCCGCAGCCAGGACCAATTGGCCAACGAATCGCATGGGCTCAGCTCACAGCAGCTTCCTCGCTTTCTCCACGAACGAAGCGAACGCGCAATTTAGCAAAGAAGCCATCTACAATGCTACTGTTCACAGTTCCCAAGACGTGCGCAAAACCAGTCTGCCAATTCCAATTTGACAAACTTCCCGCAAAGCATGCGAATTATTACGGCCGGTCGCGTGGCAGGATCGTCTTTCCTTTTCTAAGACAATGTGCTCGCAGATGGTCATGATTTATGCTCGCCCCAAGTAATGCAATCCTAACGGAAGAACTCCTGCTCTCCTACTCTCATATGACAAGGCTAAGTTCAAGAGTCAGCGACTCGCAGAATAGCATCGGCAGTCAATCGCGCCCTCTCCCACGTCCCAGCTGTCGACGGCAGCGTCCAATCCGACCTCAAGCACAATTTCGTTATGCTGTTTCTCGTCACAGGCGAACTTTGAGAATCTTTCCAGTGCAGAACAAAGACAGGTTTCGTTTCGCTTCACCGAGAGATAAATCCTCAAACGCCACCTTGCCGTCTTGCTTGGTCGCCGTCACGTTATTCATGCCACTTGAGTTCTGTTCCGCCTTGACTGCGGCGATTTCTTAGATTCGGCGATGGGACCACACCATCGGATGACGAGTCGCTGTTGAGGCCGACAATGAATGGCTTGCAAGGTACGGATAGGTGGTCAAGAAAGGCTACTACTGGCTGAACTCTCAAACTAAGTCGCAATGCAGCATGTTGGCGGCCCGGTGCCGGTTCGCCGGCCCACGAGGATGGCTTCGGACCCAAGCCCGCCGTAGCGGGTTTGGAAATGTTCAAATCTGCGAGTACCCAAGCCCTTGACGAATTAACTAGCCTCGGCCTCAATGTTTTCGGTGTCACGTCCCATTGGTCGAGCTCTTTTCACAGAAATTTTCACTCTTCGCGCCTTTCCACACTTTGGCGTTGCTGGAGAAGACGGAATGCCCTTGTCAACCGCATAATTGGGTTGATTGGCCTCAGCACCCTCACCAAACAAAAAAAAGACAGTTAAATGAAGAAGATTATATGAAATGTTACATTATATAATACTTCTCTTTTGATGCTTAAAAGAGCCTCAGCACTGGCAAACCAGGCAAGCGACTGACTGACTGGCTCCACAGGCTGGCGGTGATTTAGGTGTACCTCTAAGGTCAGTCAAGGATCCAGTGAAAGAGGTTCCCAAAAAACATACAACAGCGAGGATTCCCGTCACCGGCTGTCCGGTCAGATAGTCAAATTAAATCCGGCCCACACGCCTCCTGTTTCTACTCAAAGACAAAAGCTAGAGACGGCCTTAGTTTGGGAATTATTGCTCTCACATTCGTAGCGTCGCTCGAATGCCCTCTACCTAGCTTCCAGAACTCTTATGCCTTGGCTTCGACGCGGAGCGGGAGAACCAGGGACCCTGATGGGACGATCTACGTTATCTCCTCTCGGGGGAAAGAGAAAACTGCGTCGATCCAATGCCGTTTTTAGTTTTGATGGAAACCCTTGTCGAAGACCCAATTGACAGCATGTTTGACCGGCTGCAGCCACAACAGCCTCGTCGTAGGGGTCGAGTCTTACAAGCAGGGCGGATATGAGCACACGCCACATAGGTGCCCAATTGCAGGCAGCTGATCAAGTCATGGCGGGGACATATGGGTGTCAGACCTTCGGTGGCGCTTGATCCACAGACAAATGTCGAGGTGAGCAATCCTAAAGCCAAGAAAGCGTTTATTCAGCTGGGCGGGTCACTTACCGGTGTGATAGGGGGGAAGACGCAATTGTCTTGAAGGAATATGCACAAGAAATCGTGGTGAGGCAGTGAAGGGAGAAACTGTCGACTCAGCAGCAAGTGCCATCGGCTTGGGAATAATGGCCGTGGTATCTTGCCCCAGTTGTGAGGTGACACGGGGAGTTGCAGCAGTGAGTAGCTGAAAGTGTGTCGCTTGCCCCGCACACCCTGTCAGCATCAGGTCGTAGTAGGGCAGACCGGTCCGCTGTGCGCAGATCGCTTAGAGCTAACTTACGGTCGCACATTACCACATGGGTGACATAACCCTTTTGGGAAGCCTCAACCATGTGGAAATACTTAGTAATTTTGTGGCCCCTTGCAAGACTACAGTACCGCACACTATCCGGAAGGTATCTCTTCATTTAGATGGCATCTCCACCAGGGAATATGTCGTGATAATTCCTGGCGACGCGTCACAATTCTTCCACTCACACATCCACACCAGCATCAATACCCAGCCCATCGCCCCCCATAGCTATTATAGGCTATCCCCATCCATTCCCTAAGTAACCTCGGGTCTATCCATCTTGAGATTGTGCGACTGACCTTGTCTTGTACGTAGATATGCCCGATCACGTCCTATCGCAGACATGTCCCGATGTTCCGAAGACCGTGGCCCCTAAATCGTACCAAAGGAGCCACGATTTCATCCGCGATAGCCACCCAGGGTCGAATCTGTGTCCATATTGCGGGAGACGTTGGCCCACGAGTATCTCCATCCTCGACAGCTCGCCAGTCCCGTTTCGAGACGTTGAGACAGCTTCCACCTCCTCCACTATACAGTCTATCGACCTAACAGCCTCTGATCGTTCCACGCCCTCACAGACGATCTTCACCGGCTCTGGAGACGGCCCTGGCCGTATCCTCGCAGCATCGCGGCCCTCCGCCATGTATCGAGATGCCAAACTTACCCAGAGTCGGATCGCGAGGGGCATGAGGGCGAGCTCGTCGCAACTCAGTGAGGCTGTGGCTAAACAGAGCCAAAACAAGAGCAGACGGAAGATCTCGATGCGTCTCACTGTCTTCCTCGCGAGGCCTGACCCATGGGAAATACTAGACGAAGATGAGGAGCCCCAGTGGTCTTTGGCTAGAGAGCTGCTGAAGGTCGCTTTGCGCCCCTTCGTCGACGAGGAACCATCTTTACCTGTCCACTTCTGGTTCGACAGCATCTTCTTCCCTCAGTTCAAGGACAAGCCTGCCCTCTCTTCTGTTCTTCAGTTCGACAAGAGACTCGTTCAGAACGCCCATATTAAAGAGGGTATCACGGAGCTGAGCGACCTCGACTGGGAGAGACAGACAGTCGCAGAGCTTTTCGGCGAGGACTGCCCTTTTCGTTTCAGTAAAACAGAGGGCAGATATCTCCTTTTCCTTGTTTTCTATGAGCCATTGCCTCCTCGACCACAAGTCCCGGCCCCTCGTCATATCAAGACGCCGAGGTCAGCCGTAAAGCCGTTCAAAAAGGAGAAGGGAATCAAGAAAGAGTTAGTCAAGACCGAGGCGAAGGTACAGCCAGCCTTGTTAATCGGGAGCGAGTTCAACTCGCCCTCCTTGAGCCCCTCTCTGAGCCCAGTTCTACCTCCTTCGAGAGCTAGCGCACAAGACCAGATCGAGGTTATTACTAGCGACGTGGACGAGACCCGCGCGGGTCAGAAACGAGCTCGAGACTCTATAAGCTCAGCACTCTCAGTAGAGGCAGAGGATAAGGAGCTCTCGGCTGGCCCTGCCTTCACTGCCCATGGTCCCGCTGCTGGAACCCGAGGAGTTGATACGAGGAGGCCAAGTAGTCGGCATCCTCGTAAACAGACGAGGAAATAGTAGTTACTCTAGCTCAAGGTGACCCAGGTCCCCCATCAGCTCGTCCACACTATTGATAATATCGCCAGGTAGCTCAGTTCCGGAGAGGCTATTGTTAATAGGCTTAAGGTAGTTCTGCTCGAGGAGCCGAAGCTAAAGCATTGTCAGCTAGCTTTTGAGTGCGATGGAGTACTTTTTTACGTACGAATCTCTCTTGCCCTCCAACTGGACTCTCTGGGATGCTCAGCACCGGACTTGCCCCGCAGTCGAGATGAACCTGAATCTTGTCTCTAAGTCGTAAGTAGATCGCGAGGTGTGGTCGCTTATGATCAAGCTCCCCATCTAGCTGACCACCGAACTGAAAATCCCGGAGCTGTTGATCACACCAGTCCGTTGTTATTGGGTCAAGAAGATCGTCTATATCGATAGAATCGACAGCGGCCATCATCTGGGCAAGCCCATCTCGAGCCGCAGGCCCTAGATGGACTGCCCAGTTCTCCACTTCGCTTGTATTATACAAATCCATCGGGATCCCGGCGACGAGATGCTCCCTATTCTTCTGTGGTCGGATGCGATGGCCGTTCCACATCTCCGTGAAGTCCGCAACCTCTTGACGGATCATGGGTCCATAGAGAGCATACACCGCGATCTGGTGAGCAAGACGGTTTGGTTGGAAGAGGCCGCTGTCAATTAGTTCGTGTGAGAACGCGATCCAGCGCTGACTGACACCTTTAAGTAGCTTTTCCCACCAAGACTCGATCCGTTGGTTCGATGTGCTTGGGCCCCAGATATGACAGGAGCTCAGTCTCGCTCCCTGCCTGTGGACTCGTTGGTCGTTATCCTCGGTGGTATACCGAAACTCTGTCTGATCAAGGTCTGCGAGAATCGCCTGGGCTCCGGCCCAAAGAGGAGTCTCGATACCATGATCCGAGCGGGTGAAAAGGGGGCGGACCCCTGAGTACGACACAGTTCGTAGAAACTGTTTGAGTGAACTCAGCGCAGTCATGTTCCCCCTGCCGACATATATCCAGATGATGGCTCTCGAGTACGTGTCGATACAGGCGTAGATAGAGAAGCCGAAGTTCTTGAGCTTCTCGTACCCATCGAGAGACCACATGAAGTTAGGCCCAGGAACCTGGAAGTTCTTCCGGTGCTTCCAATCAGCAAGGCGTCTTTGTTCGGCCCGCTTCTTCCACTCTGGGTTCGTTTGGTACTCGCGATATAAGGTATTCTGGCCGACAAGGACGCCGGCACGGATGCGGACGTAATGGTATAGATACCCCCTGCCAAATCCTCTGATGCTTGAAGACTGACGGTCGTCTTGGAAGAGGAACTCTCTTGCTTTTTGAATAGCCTCCTGTCGTTCAGCCAGATCTCGGAAGCGCCGCTTCATGCCATGCTTCAGACGATACTCCTGTACAGTCCGCTCGGAGATCTCGATGCCGCGTCGCTTGAGATCACGGACGATGGAAGTGTCGCTATATCCGTATCGGTAGAAGTAGCCTTTGATCAGCTCGACGAAGGTGTTGGTATCAATCTTTGAGTGAAGGGGGGAGTACTCCTGGGCACCCCATTCCGCTAACCTCCTTTTCAGGGTTCTGACGTCGAGTACGTGCCCATCGTCGCGGAGATGGGCACATATCGTTTCAATGGATAGCCCTTCTCGCCGCTGCTCGAGGATCCAGTCCTTGACGCGCTCCAAGTCCTTACGGGGCCTCGGCATTGTGCGAGACGCAGACCAGGGGTTCGAGATCGTGGTAGAGGTCGGAGTTCATACCTCCTTCCAAGGCTTCCAGCTGCAATATCCCGCCCCCTCTGAACCGGCATTATCGGAGCTTCGGCGCCGATGGAATGGCATCAGCACCGCTTGGTATGGCATCAGCTCTGCTACATTGAAAACAGTGCGCCATCATATCAATACTGTAGCCCCATATAAAAACGACGAAAGCCTATGTGCGAAATAGCTCCAGTCATTTTCGTACATGGTTTTGTCACCCATGTGGTAATGTGCGACCGTACACCTTCGCGACCGTAAGACGAAGCGTTTCGACCTTTCAACCCACGAACGACCAGCACTGACCGGAACACCGGGGCTTGAATCAAAGCTATTAAATCAATAGGTTCTGAGAATTTCAGCTACGGCTTCCCCGTTCAAATATGGAACCCAGCTTTCCGCTCAGGGTCCCGCCGACCTGCCGCAGATGCGGAAAGCCCTGCACAAGAAAACCCACCAACGACGTCAACACAAACGGCAACCCAGGCCGTCCCTACTACACCTGCGTCTCCCACTCGAGCAGGGTCTTCGGCTGCTTCGACGACGCCATCGGCGTGTCCCGCGACAACCCGCCCTGCCAGTGCGGGTACGTCAGTCGCCGAACCAGGAGGAACGATGGCGAGTCGCACTTCTTCTCCTGCCCCGTCGGTAGATGCGGCTGGAGCTTGACCGACGACACGCCGGAAGACACCCCCTCGCCGGAGGTCTTGGGCAGCCCCAGCAGCAGCAGCAGCCCCAGCCGCGGCCAGGCGGGGGTCGATACACTCTCTGCCCGCCTGCAGTCCGTCGCGTTACAGCCGAGCCCATCGCCGCCGCGGGTGTCCAGCCCCGACGAGACTGCGACGAGACGTATCACAATCTCGATGAGCCCAAGTGGGCCCGCGACCTCTACAGCTTCACCCAGCGTCCCAGCAAGTACGGCAAGCTTGACGGCCGGCGGGCTCTTCGGGTCTACGCTCCCGGCGTCGACGGCCCAGTCCGACACGCCGACGCCCAGCAGAACGTTTACATTCGGGCCCACGACTGCTGGATCGACGACACAGGGCAGCATCCAGACGGCCGGTGGGCCATTTGCATTCGGGTCTTTTACTGCAGTGCCAACGACACAGTCCAGCGTCGCGACAGCCGGACTGCTCTTCGGGTCCACGCCTCCAGTGTCGACGAGCCCGTCCAGCACTCCGCCGGCTAATACGGCATTTACATTCGTTTCACCGACTGCAGTACCAACGTCACAGTCCAGCATCCCCACAGGCGAGCTCTTTAGGCCCTCACCTCCCAGGTCAACGAGCCCTTTCAACATCCCAACAAGCACGGCAAACTCGACGACCGCCGGGATTATCGGCTCCGCGCTACCAGAGGCAAGCACAAGAAGCAGCAGCGAGCCGGCGTCATCATTCCAAGTCTCCGGGCACGAAAGACCCGCAACGCCGCCCGAATCGCCACAGCATTCAATCCTCCGGCCGATGCTGCAGCCAGAAGGGACGAGAGGGTCGGACGTCAATGCTCAGTCCGCCGACACGGGCGCGAACCGTTCCGGGGAGAGCGTAGGCGCCTTTCAAAGCACGATCGGCGTGGCTGGTCTGTCAGCTCCGACCTTCCGGTCTGCCAGCAGCTCGACGGCATTGGAGGAGAAGTCGGAGAATACGCCAGACGAGGCGTTGGAGAATGCGCCGCAGGACGTGCCGCAGAACGCGCCGGAGACGATCACGGCTCCACTGCCCACCACATCCGACGACATCGAAGCGCATCCGGCCATAGCGGATGCCTCGATCGTGCCCCAACCCGCAGCCCCACTTTTCGTAACCGCCACCAACGATAGCCCACCGCGGATTCCCTCCGCACCCAGCTCGAACCTAAGTCAACAAATTGCCCCACCACGGCCCGTTCCTGCCGACGGCGACATCACTCGGGCAGCGACGCCCGCCCTCTCATACGATGGCAGCAGTTGTTCTAACGAGGAGCCCCAGAAGCCCGTTTCGCAACCACGTCTCGCCGTCGGTCAATACGAGTCCGACAAAGAGATTCCCAAGTCTCGTAAGCGCCTTTTGTGTTGTACGGTGATGTAAGTGTTTAGGCATCACACACCTTTTGCCGTCGAATGCGCAATGCCGCCCTTCGGGAAAGCTAGCATTCCTTGATATACGCCAAGTAAGTGCCCTCTCCCTAACATGATATATTGCCCTACTGACACCAGACTTTTCGTCAGGGCACTTCAAGTTACGTTCACATATTCCTTGACACAGATGCCTTTGGGTTTTAGCGATGATGAAGATCGGATCTATCTCTACGTGCGAGTTACGTGACTTGAGGCATGATAGCTATGATGCCTGAGGCTCCCACCTGCCTTTCAAAGGGTCTTTCAATGTGGCCATAAACACGGCGCAATGGAAAACATACTTAATAAATGGCTGTTAGATTGCAATTGACTTCCCACCAACAAAATACTATCCGGCAGTAATATAAGCTGAATATGCCAGCGATATAAACAATTCAATCAGTTTAACTTCAACCTCAAAGTTGAACTCACTAATATATCTGTCACGGGCCGCAGGCACAACGACGTTAGGGACGCCCTCGCGCCGAGTTCAAACCATGTGGAGGGCACAGCCATAACCACTCAGCCACAGTAGCGCGTCTCCGCGACTCGACGGCTCCGACACGACATGTCCGCGAATCGCAGCCTCAAGAGGAGGTGTCCAATCATGTAATCAGGGTCGTCAGGGATCGGGTTGATCTGGGCATTGCATTCAGAAACAAGGTACTTGACAATCCGCTCTTTGCCTCGAGCAGCAGCCATGGATATCACTGAAAGCCAGGCGCTATGGAAATCTGCGGCGAGTGGATCCCAGGTAAGAACTCGCTCCTCAAGATGGAAGCCTGCCTTAGTCGCCTTTGCATGCCTGAGGGCACCTATTGCGGCATCACTGTCAGTATACTGATAGCAGATTTTAAATGCTGCACTTGGATAGGACTTATAAAGAATTCCAACACCAAGTTGATAAAATACTACGTCACCCCATGCACATTGGAGTGGCGATGGGGTGCATGGGGTAGCCTCAGCCGAAGGCTGTGTGTCCGCGGGCCGGGAAGCTATTACTACTATTGCATTATCTACGTACTGATCCAGTGCCATGGCCATTCTTGGTATTATATATCATGTAAGGACTCCGTGTAAGAACCTGTCGTTTCTTAAGCTCCTGATCCCTTATCTTCATCTTCATGCCACCCGGGGGAGACCGGTAGACCAGGTGATTACGATCAAATGGCGCATCCAACATCAAACCCTCAAGCGTTTTCACACGAGAGACAGCCACGTAGCTTAAACCGGTCTAAAAGTCCAGGCAGGAGAGATCCGTAACGATCATATCTTCTATGATGCTTTGTGACTTGTGCAAGGTAATAGCGTAGCATACGATCAGGGGAAACTGCGTCCGAGCGCAGAGAGTGGCTCCGATGAGGAAGTCCCTCTCAACTGGGAGAATCGGGACAATCTTTTTGCCACCGGGGGTGGTCAGGAACACCCGTCCGTTGTACTTGTCAAACTCCATCATGATAACACAAGGAGGATCTTGGATGGGGTCAGCCCCGGGTGCCCAACCGATGTCGTAAACCGCACCGCGAGCGCCGTTGCAGAGGCCAACTGGCTGCCAAAGGTTGGACGTCAGCATTAGACGGGCGCCAATGCATATGGGAATCTGCTTTGCAAGGTTGCCCGCCTTGTCATCGGGGGCAGCAGCCGCACCAGGGCCGACGTTCTGAGCTTTGACCTGGACGACTGGCCGGCCGAGGCGGTCGAATCGCGCCTCTGGATCTGGAATTCTTCATTTAGTTAGCATTGAATGCCCTACGGAGTGGAGAGACATCTGACATGAGAATTGCACTGATTACGGCACTCCAGGCAATTCTTAGTGTTACCCGCAGATTTCCTTTTGCTAACGAAGTCACCCGCCGGTTTCTCCTCACCACAGCGGGCACAGACGATGGGAATTATGTCATCTTGTAGCCGTTGAGGAGTAGACTTAGGACTCATTGCGCAATGAAGCAAGACATCAAGCAGCATTGTGTACGAAATCCAAAGTAAACAAACCGGGGGTGTGCAAAATCCAACGTAAACAAACCGGGGGTAATGCCAGCTGCCAAAGTATGGTCCCACTTTTTTGAGGCCGTCATCCAATTGTGCCACGTTTTGCGGCCGTCCATACAAATTTTGGACCAATCAGAAACTTTTGCCAATCTTGCACCAAACCCTCATTATTTGGAAACTTAAGAACTGATGTAGAGTCAGCCTTCGGCTGAATAAGTAAGAACAGGTATAAAGAAGATTTTTCAGGTCGCTCAGGCCGCAAATCTCCATAATCATAATGAGAAGTTCCGGGTGTAAACATTTCAGGATTGAAGTCGAACAATCCAGCTTCGGTAAATATTAGAGTGAGTCTGAACAAAAGTAATAAGGGCATACCGCAAGAAGATTTTCCACTGGCCCTTGGATACTTTCTGAGAAATCTTCAAGGCGAAGATGGCATTGTGTGTGCTGATCTTCTGTCTGTGACCGCGTTTGAAATCTTTTCCCTCCGTTCTGGGTAAGATCCATGACTGTAACATCGAAGAGGGGAGAAATCAAAGGTTCAAGAGCCGACATGGTGGGCTCAGGAATGGCTTCGTCTTGAGTCAGATCAATGACTGTGACGTCGGAGAAGGGAGACTTCAAAGGTTCGAGAGACGAGATAGTGTTTTCAGGTTGAGAAATGGAAAAGTACGTTGGCAGGATGCACTGCGAGGGCCTGATCCCCCCTTTATAGCCCCGTACTTCCTCCCCGCTCCGGCTTTCGGATTATCTAGGGGCAAGCCTTAATCTATTTCGGAACATGTGGTGCAAAGTTTACTCCTGGATGCGTCACCGCTCCTCAATCAACGGTTCAGCTGGCCCTTTAGAAGGCCATCGTCTCCTCTCTGACCGAATGATTCCTTCAAGCCTGGCAGGATGGCGGGCAGTGCATCACCGCGTCTCAAATATAGTGCTTGTGGTCAAGTGGATTACCATTCTTGGTGTCGTAGTCTATGGCAATGCTATGCTTCTGCGCAACAAGTTCGACTGACCGCTCCGCAAGGGCAGTGATTGTGGCAAGTGGTTACACCCACGGCGGCTGGCACGATAGAGCCGTCGCAGACGATCAAGCCTTCGTACGTTTCAGTTCCATTTCCCTTGAATATCTCGCCCATATGGTATGTCACGCCGTTACTGCCCGTGCCGTCTGCGCTCATTCGAGCCCCGCCTCTGTGACATGTGTCTCCCACTGACCCACTCCACGTCCTGAAGTAGGATCAGGCCCCTAAAAAGGGAAGAGATGCAAACCAGGGTCTGTTTTCGGTCACTCTAGGAAGAAGGAATCGGCCCCTAATAAGGGAACGGGTGCGAGCCCAGGGTCTGAATTCGGCCACTCTAGGGTAGGAAGCACAGCACGGGTGGGGGAGCACTGCTGAGGCGTTGAGCGATGGTTGGGATGGCCACGCAGCAGTACACACACACACACACACACACACACACACACACACAATTTATTTCGCCCGGTTTCCCAAGTTTTGTCATGATCTCGTAAAAGCTCATAAAGCGTCCACTTTCCGCCTTTGCCTCTTTGTTTTCCATCTCTCCCGCAGCTACATTATTGGAAAATCTCAACGGCCACTGTCATTAAAGATAAAGAGAGAGCGAATTAGGCCCTCGTCCTCCTTGATAAGCCCTGTGCAGTTTGATTCCTGTAAGAAATCATCCATGTTATCGCAAGCCCGCTCAAGATACCACAGCCCAATCTTAATCATCTCATCAAAAGTTTCATCTTCAGTGCAGGCGTCGTGTGCGTAGTTGATCATGTCTCGTCCATTCAGCAGCAAGGTTGAACGATAGAGCTGCGAGTTTAAATCACCTCGCTCCATCTTGCATTCGAGCGTCGCTTTTTGACGATACCCTGAGCAAAAGCTGTTGCAAAGCTGTCTGAGCAAGTCGCCTAGTGTCGATTGCTGCCGCCGGGCACTGATAAGTCGACAATGTAAAATAGAAAGGAATTCCGACACGTCTCCATTGACACCCCTGCCGTTTCTCGCAGCAAATTCCCAATCGATAATAAATGGACGCAGGTCATGGTCAAGATCGGGAGACAGTGGCAGCATTATATTGCCAAAGTTGAAGTCTCCATGCACGAGACAGGCCGGGTACGCATGTTGTGGATTCTTGATATCCTCGACAAGCCGTCGATAGTAAATCTCTGATTTGGGAACATTTGCCAAGTATTCTGGTAAATTTTTCATTGCGAGATACCAGACGACGTCGTCTGTCAAGGACTGAGAGAGGACCTCTGCAATTTCGGGCCGGGACTCAATCGCGAGAGCAGTTTCTCGGCTGTGCATCGTTGCAAGGGAGTGCCCTAAGATATTGCCAATTCGTGACACCGAACTCTTCGCCTTTGGTGACGCGCTTGACTGGGCCCAGACCTCAACACGCTTAAGAAGATTGACAACCTCGCCCAGATCCTCCAGGAGAAGGATAGAGGCCTTGTCACTCTTATCAGTGATCAACAAGTCCGATTCAGCTCCTTGGTCATGGCGTATAAACCTTGGTAAGCGCCACATATCTGGGCTTGCAGCAGCTTCTGCGAATAGCCCGTCCTCGTCCCAGAGGCTCATCATGGTAGCTTCTACTTGCTGAAGGAGGAGCAACATGTATTAGCACAAGCAAAAGTGGCAAGCGTGTGGCATCTTCATGTAGTGGCATTCTCACCTGACGGTTTAAAGAAAACGGCTGCAGCTGGCCCTCGTCCTCGAAGAATGGCGATGCATGCTTCAAGATGAGGGATTGTGGTCCGGCTTGCCCAGCCGCTTTGGCTGCGCGCAGAGTAGCGTTAATGGAGCCATGCGGAACCCGTGCCACTTCCCAGTGGGTATCTTGGTAAACAGATTCGAGATATCGAGCGTAGTTTGGCTCATCCATGGTGGAAAACTGGCAGGTATTGGCAGACAGGACGCAATTGATGCAAAAGTTACTAAAAAAAAAAAAAAAAAAAAAAAGGAGGAAAGGTGAATAGCCAAGGTTAAAGTAATAAGATCACAGGTCGTCTTGCTTTAGACGAGAATGGCACTGAGTTATTGGATTATAAGAGCATGATTAAATATTCGTTGGGAATTTAACAAGATTCTTCCTCTCCGCGCATGTTTTTCCGAATGCAGCGTCTTTACGTCTCACCCCGCCCCGTTGCAGCTACTTTGCCGCATGAGTCATAACACGGCGGCCTGCGTTGAATCACTCACCCCGCCCCGTTGTAGCTACTTGCCGCGTGAGTCATAACACGGCAGCCTATGTCAAATTTCTCAGTAGTGTCAAATAAGTAATCGTCGTTCTCGTCTTCGTCCCCTGGATCGGAATCACACTCCACCCCTAAATTTTTTTGAGGTACCTCCGTGGTCGAGCAGGCGAAATGAGTAAGTTTGTGCAGGCATTCGAAAAGCTAGAATCCAGCGCAACCATCGTTCACGACGCCGTGCAGGGGAGACTGTATCACTGACTCCCACAATATCTCAACTCGGCATCTTTAATGGGTCTGAGGGTCCTAGAGAAGGTATCCTTATGCTATGGTCCTAGTAAATTGTTCAGGCTAACCAAGGAGTGTAGATGGGAGTCGAGATCGACTACAACCGAGTTGGTTTCAAGACGGGGATGGGATAACCAAGGAAGGCAATGACATGGGACAGTTCTCTGAATCTGATATTGACGCCGAGGACTATTTCAACTTTCAGCCGTTGCTGCTATGCGATCGCCAGTCTCATCTGCGTGGGACGAGCTTGATATGCTGCTTTCTTCGGTCTGTGTTTTCCTCGTGCGACTCTTCGAGCTTCCGCCTTTGCCTCGCAGCCCATGGGGAAGTCTTTGTCTCCGGATGTTACCCACAGCATCTTGATGATGTTGCCGCTTTTCTGGAGTCGTTCGGCGTGCTTGTGGATCTCTTTAATGGTACATTGCCCCGACTGCTGTCGCGGTTGCGCAATCACTTCCAATGCTGATCGGCTGCTCGTCATAACGGTCAACTCTCGATGTTGAAGTCCATCCGGCATGCATCTTAGCGCCATCACTATAGCTTCCAGCTCTGCCGTGTACATGTTCTGATCGTTCTGTCGTTGCCCACCGTAATTCCCCTCCGCACCCCGCAGGAATCGATAGATGAGGTAAAACTACAAGGGACAGACCCGGACTTTAAACTCAAGGCGATGCCAGCGACCTTCCATGGATTGCAGAAGCTTTTGAGTGAGCCATGGGATACAGGAAAAATTGGGAAAATCTTGATAACATCACCAAACACAATCTTGACCCATTCAACAGTACCCAAAAGGCAGCGGATGGCATTGGTATTGGCATTTGCATTGGGTTTCCTGTAAGCGTCTTCTCGGCCAAGTCAGTAAGTGATTTGCCATGGTTCCTAACGGTAAGAAGTGTTTTAATTGCAAGTGTTTTCCGCCTGGTAACTCTTGTGCATTTGCTATAGGTATGCCCCAGATTGTAAGTCTCTTCCCTAGCCTTCCCCAACTTAATGGCTGATCGTGGATCTAGACCGCGGAGATAATACCTGTAAGGAAACTTCAATCTGCCTTTGAATATCTACTGACAGTTACCTAGGGACGACTGTGCGCCCCCATTGACACATCTTTTGTTGAAATGAGAAGATTCGGGTTGCTTGATTCATACTAAATGAACAGTAGGAGAACTACTATTTATGTACAGGCACGATCTCTGTGGAATGTTCCACCCTCTTCCACACCTTGCCACCGACTTGGTCGCCTCACACTTGTGATCTCCAACAGAGCCCGCCTACTGCCCCAATTATATAAGAGCCTCTAGAACCTCAACCGCAGTTCCCACTCGATAACGCCAGTTACAGGCCGGCCTGCGATCATCAGAGTCCCATCAACTCCATCCATCGTGCTGAAGCACTGCTGCCGTCATGTCTCGTGTTTCTGATCTCGAGGGCGATGTCAAGTCGGGGCTAGAGGCGACTCATGTTGAGCACACAGTGCAAGACTACAATCGCAACGTCAATGCTAGGTATGAAACCTACCCTCTCTATGCATCACCACCGAAAGCCCCTCCTCTGACCATGTCTCAGAATTCGCAACCCTCTCATTGGCATTTCGAGGCAAGACCTCAAACTCCAAACCGATGCTTTCTGCCATGACAATGGCTTCCAGGGCAAGGAAGACATCTTCTATCGCGGCGCGTTGGCGGCTCAAAACCCCCAGACCTACGAAGCCCTCGAAGACTTGACCGAGGAAGACAAGCACTTCCTTCAGCGCGAGGTCACTCACAAGTGGCATTTACCGCGCCAAATGTACTTCGCCATTGCCCTCTGTTCCCTTGGGTCTGCGATCCAGGGTTGGGACAACACTGGTGCCAATGGCGCAAACCTCTCTTTCCCCGTCGAGTTCGGCATCCAAGACAATCATATGCTCGTTGGTGCCATCAATGCTGGTCCAACACTCTTCGGTCTTCTTTCCGCCTGGGCAGCCGATCCCATCAATAACTTGCTGGGTCGTCGCGGGACCATCTTCCTGACTGGCCTCTTCGCCATCTTTCCGGTGCTTGCCCAAGGTTTTACACAGAACTGGTGGGGCCTGATGCTCTGCCGGTTGTTCATGGGTATCGGCATGGGCATCAAGATCTCGACTATTCCCATCTACTCGGCTGAGGTTGCGCCTGCTGTTATTCGCGGCGGAGTCGTGACCAGCTTCCAGCTTTGGGTGGCGTTTGGCATCTTCATTGGGTTCTGCTCCAACTTGATCTGGTATCGCATTGGCGCACTGGCGTGGAGATTCCAATTGTCCGCGGCGTTTGCGCCTGCTATCCCTGTCGTCATCTTTGTTTGGTGGTGTCCTGGTAAGTGATTGTTGCACGGAATCGTTTATGCTCATGTTGGATAAGCGTGCTAACCACTGCGCGATCAGAGTCTCCAAGATGGCTCATGAAAAAGGGTCGCTTCCAGGAATCCTTCGGGCCCTTTTGCCGCATCCGCAATAGCGAGATGATTGCAGCCCGCGACCTTTACTACGCACACCGACAGGTTCTGGAAGAAAAGAATGCCTTTGGTGGTCAGACTTTGGGGAGACGAATGCTGGATTTGGTTCTTGTCCCGCGTCTGCGTCGTGCCACAGTAGCGAGTGCTTGGATTGTCATCAGTCAACAATTTTCCGGTAAGAACGAACACTTGCTGTGAACATAGAGTACAACTTCGAACTGACTCTCATCTCAGGCATCAATATCATGGCCTTTTACTCGTCAACGATTTTTGAACAGGCCGGATACTCTCCAAATCAGTGCCTATTGGCGTCAATGGGTTTCGGCCTTGTGACGTTCATCTTCGCAATCCCAGCTGTTTACATGATGGACACGTTCGGCCGCCGAAACTTGCTTTTGATCACTTTTCCAAACATGGCTTGGTGTCTTTTGGCTGCCGGCTTGTGTTTCTTGATTGACGACAGCGTGGCAGCGAGAGTACCGCTGATTGCCTTTTTCATTTATCTCTTCGCAGCCATGTACGGCCCTGGTAAGTCCTGCTTAGCTGACCCCCGTCGAAAGGTCTCGTAGCTGATGTGATTCCGACAGGTATCGGTCCCTTGCCCTCCATCTACTTCTCCGAGTCTTTCCCTCTATCGCATCGAGAAATCGGGGGTGCTTTCACAATTTGTGTGAACAACGCGATTGGTAGTGCGCTGACCCTCAGCTTTCCTTCGCTCCTGGCTGCTATCGGACCTACTGGAGCATTTGGCTTCTATGCTGGCCTCAACTTGCTTGCTTTCTTGGTCATCTTCTTTATTATACCTGAGACGAAGTAAGTACATGATCCATGGATGAGTGAGTGGATGAAACATCTGACACCTTGGAAAAACAGGCAGCGAACCCTTGAAGAACTCGACTACATATTCGGCGTCCCGACCCGAAGGCATGCTGCTTACCAAGTACGCACTTGGCTTCCTTGGTGGATCCAACGTTACATATTGTTCCGAAAGGACGCGAAGCTAGAGTCCTTTTATCAGCTTGACTCTCAGTGAGAACCTCTATTAGTTGAATAGCAAGTCCCTGGTGGAGTACGTGCTGGGTGGCTTTGGCAGTCGTTTCTTCCATTTGGGGATTGCTAGCTACTATATCACTGGCTCCTTTGTGAAAACTACTCTATATACTTTCAAGAGACATCCAATCAACACAATTTAGTTAAATACCTTTGTTTGGCGGTGTAGAGTGAATTGGTAAATTGAGGCTGATCTGTAGCAGGGCTAACCAACGCGGAGTGCAGCCACACGAGCCCCGACCCCGCACATCAGCCCATGCAACTCCCTATGATTTTGCACTCATCCATTCTTCATCAGTGACGATTGCGATAACGTATTCGTCTCAGCGGTGTCACTGAAGCAACACTAGCGCGACTTGGGCCGCCATGCCCATTGCCGACGATGCCAGAGGCCCTTCGATTCTCCAGCCGCTCTGCGACAGCACATACGCGACTCCTTGAGACATCACGGCTTCCCCGACTGTCCCTTGCCCGCGATTTCCTTATAAGTGGCGATCTGGAGAGACCATGCAAATACTCTGGCTGCCAAGTGCTGTTGCGGAGCAAGAGAGGAGCGCATGGATGCACCAGCACCTAATTGGTCCGGCATTCACCGGGTGTCTGCAGACGGGACGAGCCCAGGCCAGTCCAGACTGTAGCAGGGGGGCAAGGCGTTCATGTCGATGGCAAACCACCGGCCGTGCATGACTTGACGGGTGCTTGCAAATAGGTGGTCTTTCTTGAGTGTACTCTGTAAAACGTCGGGGTTGCTCCCTTCGCGTGGCTAGGTTGCTGGGACCGCTGGGACCGCTGGGATTGGAGTCTCGGGGCACGGAGCGCGGACTCTCAGCTCTGCCGAGAGGATGTGTGGAAGTCCTCTAGCCTCGTATGGTTTGGCGTTCCCGCCATAATAGCCAAGGTGAGACCGAAGCATTGGGTACCGTACAAGCGCAGCCAGCTCTTAGCACCTGATTGAACTTTGATCCACCCCCAGCTTACGATAAAGCCTGGGGTTCCCATATAGCCTGGCGATGATGCCCTTCTGCTCCCTGCCTGTACGATGAATTAATTCGCCGCCCGACTCCCTCCCCTCCTCCCCCGGCGCCTCCGTCTCTACCTCCGCCCGTGGACCCTGGGCCTCCGGCACCTCTGACCGTTTCCCACCGCCACCGCACCACGAGGTCGAGTTCGACAAGTACTACAGCAACAGCGCCGCCATGGACGACGGCGAAGAACCCGGAGCTAGCACTCGCCGGATTGGCCCTCCCTCCTCCTCGTCGGCCAGCGACTCTGCCATCGCCGTCGGCACCTCCACCGACGCCGCCATCATCCAGAGCACCGAGAACGGCGAGTTCTCTCCGCCTGATGACGACGACACCCACAGCCTCACCCACAGCATCCGCCAGCACATCGTCGAGGGTGGCTTGCGGTATCATGCCTACCATGCCGGCAAATATGTCTTCCCGAACGACGAGAATGAGCAGTACCGCGAGGACCTGAAACACAACCTTACCGTCTACCTGTGCGATGGCGAGCTCTTCTTCGCCCCCATCCACCGCCAGCTCGAGGATGGCGCCGAGGTTCTGGACCTAGGTGAGTCGCCGGGACCCGTAGGCATTTGAAATTGGTTCGCATTGGGCTGACTGGAAGTTTTATAGGGACGGGAACCGGCAAATGGTGCATTGAACGTGTGTTTTTTCTCTCCTCTTCTGGCCCCCACACGGCTGTGGTGGCGAGTGCACGCACGAGCCCCTCATTCGACCCAAGCTGTCGGGTCTCACTTCTCAAACACAGGAGACCGGCCCCTACGGGCCCGCCATCAAACCTTCGGAACGAGTCTTTCAGTTTGTGGGTTTGATGAAGGTCTACAGTTGTTTGAGATGTCGCGAGGATCATGGTTGTGGCTGATGAGCGCACGGACCAAGGGGATTCTCTCTTATTCCATCTCATCATCGTGATTCCAGTTCAATTCAACAACCATTGATAATGTTGAGATGAATACCCTTGAGAACTACGAGAAATCCAGGCAGTAGGCATCACGCTGAACCCTCCCCCCGCTGAGAACCCATCGATCCATGGATATGCATAACATGCTGCCGATTCCGAGCTGTCAGGATTTCAGGAGATGGCATGGCCCTATGCATCACAAACGCTGGCCCTCATAAATTCGTTTCGTCTCCGAGGCCAGGTTCTTGAGTCTCTGCATCGCATCTACCATAATCTGGTCCAGCTTGTTACTAATAAAGTCCTGGGGCCGCACAGGGCTGAGAAGCTTGATGCCTCGAAGCGTCGTACACCTGGACAGCTGTACATAGAGGCTAGTAAAATCACATTTGGAGGGTTCGCCATTAGTCATACGATTTCCCCTCAGCTCCAAGAGAACCTCCGCAAACGTTTTAGACTGGGACTTATAGTCGGTAAGAACAAAGGCCGGGACAACTGGGAGTCCCCGCCGGGTGCATTTCGTTGACAAGAACTTGAAGCGGGAATCGGTTGGATCAAGGGTGTGCGAGATTGGGCGGACGAGCACCATCTCCGCTGGGAGGACGGGGACCGCCAAACTCGCCGTCTCGCTCGACTGTAATAAGATGCCTAGCGGTGGGCCGAAGTGGATGGTGACATCGTCCGCAAGATGGTATCCTGGGTGTTTCGGATCGGGGATGATGTCTGCTGCAGTAAATTCTGCGCCATTGACAACCTTTAATCCGGTGTATATATTCTTATTGACAACCACAGGCATCCCCTGGGCATAGAAGAAGAGGCCTGGGACCTTGCACTTGGAGTCGTCCCCCCGCTCGATCGCCTGCGCAATCTCATACTGGGACAGGCCGGCTCTTCTCCAGGTATGGGTCGACACGAAGACGGAGATGTGCCTCTTGTTGAAGCGCGCCCAGTTGACAATGGCTTCCATATTGAGGCTCCATCGGTTGCGGTTGAGAGGTGTTATGGCGCGCAAGCCGTTACTGAAGGTAATATCGGAGCGGTCGACCAGCTTTGTATTCAGCAGGTGCAGATCTTGCCATGTCTGGGTGCCATGTCGCACTCTGTCCAGAAGAGCGCCTAGCTCTGGGTCATCCCGTGCGCGGACCTGTTCTTCAAGAAGAACCACGGTCTTGAACATCAGCCAGAGACTGAAGCCGCGGTGGTGAGAAATCGTGGCTTGGCTCACAGGGGCGGAGACGGGATCCGCCATTCGGTCTACCAGGAGGCTCGTCTCCCGTACTGGGGCGAATTGATAAAAGTCACCCATCAAAAGAACAACAGGAAGACCGCCAAAGGGCTTATCTGAGCAGTCGCGGAGCGACTGGAGACGACAGCTGGCCTCGTACAGAGTAGCACCTCCAAGCATGCTAACTTCGTCGATAACAAGGACCAGCTTCTGCTTCCACACCCACTTCTTAGCCTCCGAGAAAAGTGGGGGTTGCTTGTCGGGGGAGCGCCGGGTATCCAGTCCACAGGCAGAATGCAAGGTCGTGCCACCGATCTGTGCCGCTGCGCTCCCCGAGGTTCCCGTGATCTGGAGAAGATGTGGTTGGCCTCTCGCCGAAAAGACCCATTTCAGGGCCTCGACAACCCTGGATTTGCCCGTACCGCCCGGGCCTCCGATGTACTGGAGATGTTGACCCGCCGATTCGGGATCTGCAGAGTGTTTGTCCAAGAACCTGCACACCAGTTGAAGAGCCCTTGTCTGCAGAGAGTTGAGGGTATACTCTGAGGCGGCGAGGCGTCCTAATTCCGTGAAGCTAGTTGCCATGTTAACATCGACAAGCATTCGTGGACCCTGTGCAGCTGTGGCTTGACTTCGCTGTAGGAGGGGAATCTCCGCATCATAGTGCCGGGCAAGCATATCATCTATGTCGTCGTTAGGCGTGTGATGTGGGCCACCCTGTGGACCTGTCTCGATCTCGTCTAGCATCTGGAGATGGAGCATCTCCTGGGACTTCGCAGCGGCTTGGACATCCTCCACGGACAGGGTCTGAACGTGGCATAGGGGAGCGTCCTGAGCGCGGCGGATTTGCTGATAGAAGCCCTCGGGACGCTGCACGAAAGGCTTATCCTCCGACGCCGAAGTCTCTTCCCGCAGATCGCGCATGAAGTTCGTCAAGACTGGGGAGCCTCTCGTGGCGTCGGAATCTCGCACGGCGTTCTGCAGAGTGTGGAGCACAGCCGCAAAATTCTGGTGATGCTCAGCGATTGTTGCACGCTCTTCACCGTCGTCGCCCTCATCAAGAGGGAAGTCTGCGTCGACTGTGTCGTCGCCTTCTGACCGGCTGGCCCAGAGCCTTGCGTCTTTGCGCGCGTCCTCGGCTGACTTGCTAAGAAGGGAGATGTTGGAGACGTGAAAACGCAGCCGGCGACAGAGAGAAGGTTCGTATCCGAGCCATATATCGGCGATGTCGCCATGGGTGTTGGAAAGGAAGCGCTCCCAAGGCACGAATAGGGCCAGATGGAGAACTGAGTTTCTGCTTAGCATGTGAGAGGAGGCTTGGAATCACCAGTGCGGACGAGCAGCGTACCGTCTGAAATACACCGGGTGCTCGTCCCGGTGATCGTCGCTGATGAATCCTTGGAAGATTGGCACAGCGTACTCGTGAGGTCGGCGGAGCTTTTGGAACCAGTTATAGCACTCTGGAGAGGGCCCCTCGAGAGATATGTGGTTTTCGTCCTCATCCCGGCCACGGTTACGGACCAGACTAACCATGGACATGTAATCATAAAGGCACATCCCTCTCAGGACATGGCCTCTGCAGGCGTAAGCGTCTAAGCACAACAGGGTCCGGCCGCCCTCCCTGAGCTGCACCGTTTCTGGTGGCTCTTCCCCCTCCGTTTCCTCGCCAGCCTGGCGGCGGAGGTGCCTCCATCTCCGAAAGATCGCCCAATACAGTGCGGTCAGGTTTAGGAAGGACCAGTGCGGGACGTTGGTAAAGTCTGTCTGGTAGCCGAGCATATGGTAACATACCTCCACGGCGGAGAGCTGTCTCTCGGAAAATATCCGATTCGCCACCCTCATCAGAAACTGACGACTCTGGTTCAGCACAGCAGGTTGCTGGGCGCCCTGGTCGCCTGTTGCGGATGCGTCATGCCTTGACGCGGCATCTTCGCGAAGCTGTCGGAAGACTTCGGCCGCGTGGGCGATTCGTCTCCACATGGGCGTGTCCAACTTTGTGGCATAGTTGGTGATGTAAAATACCATGGCCAGGCCCTTGGTCCTCGTCAGGATCATGGATACATCGTGGTTGTGCCGGAGGCCGACCTCCATCGCTTTGTTATACCGGTTGACGAGCGGGTGGTTGCGACGGATGGTGAGCAGGTCGTCATCGCTCAGCCCCGTCGCATGAACGATCTTCCAGGGCGCTTTAAACCGGCAAGCCGTTCGCCTGTACTTGTCTGCGTCGTAATTTGCGAGGCCCTTCAGAGAATACTTAATGCAAGTATAGGTGTGGGAATGGACCTGGCAGCAGTACGCGATGAAGTTGGACTCGGCGTCAAAGGCCGCGGTGAGAGCCTCGGTGTCGTTCATCATCTCCTCGACGGGGTGGATCGGCTTCCGCTCCTGGCGGAGAGCCTTTCCAGCGTCCTCATCCAAGCACTCGTGAAAGACCGAGTCCATGTAGCGCACCACTCGGGCACGGTACTCTTCTTCTCGAGGGTCGGCGATGTCGTCGACGAGCGACGGCAGCTCCATGTTGCCGTGTAACCACAGGAGTCCGTGCAAGTGCAGACTGCCACGATCGTTCGTCTCTACCGTTGCATAGTAATGGCTGACCTTCCCAAAGACCGATTGTTGGTCTGTTCTGACGTATTTTTCGAAGAATAGAGAAATTTCTCTGTGGAAGAAGATGGCCGAGCTGACCGGATCCATGGTACTGAGGGCGATCCTGTCGTATCTTCCCCGGAGATCCGCTAAAAGCTCCTTCGCCGTGTGGTAATCGTGGAGCCTGTGGATGGAGAGCCTCATCTTGACCGGATTGTTGATGTCGTTGGGGTTGATGGTGATCCAAATCGCGGGCGTACCGGCCCAGATGTTAATTGCTTGTATCCTTCTGCGCATGAGCAGCCGCGTTTCGTTGGAGAGCGGCTGTGCATGGCCAAAGATGGACAACTCACGGAGCAAGAACGCCACGTCTGCGTCCGTCGTCGTTCTTGTTTCTCGCATCTCGTCCTCGGCTCTTTTCAGCCGGTCCCCCGTCAGTGTTGCGTAAACCCGTTCGACCCTCTCGAAAGAGCCCTTTGTCGTGCGCACCATGCTGATGCGGCGGTTAGATGAGCGGAGAAGGATGTTGAAGACCAGAAAACAAAAGACGGGATGGGTGGCAAACCGCCCTCCATGCCGCTGCAGCACGTATCTGGCCCAGTAGCTGAGCGAGTGGTTTGGATGGCGCTCGGCGGCCTCCAGAGCTTGCTGTTGCTCGCGGCCCGACACGTGCAGCGCCTTTGGGCCACCTCTTCCCCAAGGGAAAAGCTTGGGGAAGGTGCGTGGGAAGAAGTCCTCGTGCAGGCTGTCCGCAAAGTCTGCACCTCGTTCCACCAGGATGAATGGCTGCCCTCCGCTTCCTTGGACGTGCATGGCGCAGGGCTCAGCCTCATCGGCACCTCGAGTCCGAGTCGTCTGGATAGCGTCGGCTAGGAATGAAAGCTTATCGGCCTCTTCGAAAGCCGCCGGCCCATCAAGGGGAAACATTCCGGACGACGTCGTCTCAAGAATAACGTCACCATCGCCGTCGGCATCCTCCGGTCCTGGAATGGAGGCACGAGGATCCCCGGGCAAGGGAAGGTCCTGTTCGTTCGGCAGAGTGCCATCGGGAAGGCTGGAGTCGTCGCTGGAGTGAGCTTGCGCCGACGCAACAATCTCTTCAATGGTCGTGAGCCGGTTCTCTTCCAAACCTCGATCGGTATCTGGGACTATATGGTCTGTCTGCGTCTTCTCGGCAACGGACGGCTCTTCCCGCTGCATGCTGTCCATGATGAGGATAGGTACATCCAAGCCGTCTGCGTACCGCCAGCCATCTATCTGGCCATGGTCGATCGTGACGTGTTCGTAAAGTGGATTGTTTTCCTGGAGCCACGAAAGCGCAGCCCGGACACGGGACTTACGCACTTGGAGAAGATGGCCAACGTCTGCAGCGCTAGGCTTGCTGGAGCCACTCCAAGAGACGTGGATGTTCTCGATGGTCTCCAGAAGAGGGTGAGGGAGGACTGTGGCAACGAGGTCCTCGACCTTGTTCGGAAAGACGACGATATGGCCCTTCACATGCTTCCGGTAGCTGAGCCCCGACGGGGTCTTGTTGTCAACGGTGAACTTTGTGATGTAGCCGAAGGAGGCCTGCAAAGCAATCAGCCTCTCCTCAACGGGAGACAGGCCGTCGAGCTCTTCGGGATACCGATGCTCGCATCCGATGCACATGTTGTTGACCGCACAGGTCTTCGGCAGTTTCCCCTTCTTCAAAGCGGCATAGCATTCGTGGCAAACCATGGCCTCAGCGTCGTCGCCAGCAGGAAAACAGTCCCTGCACTCCTGGAGCGCTGCGGTGGCCTGCAGCAAGGAGGGCGTCAAGTGCCTCCTCCATCGGATCTTCGTAAGCTCGGAAGGAGGCTGCTTCCTGTAGCAGAAGTTGCAGTGCGAGATCGGTAGCGTCCTTTCATCTGTGAATGCCTGGTGGAAGGACTGTGCAGTCTCTACCTGGAGGGCAAGTGGGACCTCTTTGCACCAAGATCTTGCTACCGATTCCTTCTCCTTGTCGCGAAAACGAGATTCATGGTATCGCAGAATGGTCCCGAGGGACTCTCGTTGGAGCAAGGCGGTGTCCTGGGACGGCCTCGGTCTTTTCCGGGGTCGGTCCGGCCTCGTGGGCGGCGGCGTCAGAAGTCCTTCCGGTTGTGGGTCCCTGACGCGTTTTCGAGGGGACGGGGTGTGCGGAATCGGCCGTGCAGGCGGCGGAGGTCGATGCCTCGGGCGGTCTTCGTCGGACGGGGGAATGTGTGGGGCCCGGACGATGCCCTCGGGAGTGGCCAGTGGCAGGGTCAGCGGCGTCTCTTCGGGTCCTTGACGGCCGGGCTCAACCGCCTGCTCCTGCATTCGTAGCCTTGCGGCCCTTGCCCGTGAACGTTCCTCGGCCTGTTCTTGCGTGATGGCGGCCATCGTACGGGCGAGCTCATCTTCCGGAACAGTAACCTTATGTTGTCGAGGTGGACGTCCTCGGGTGTTCCGGCGTTCTAGGACTTCTAAAGTACGTCGCACCTCGTCAGGGGAGACTCTGACCGGTTCTTGGCGGGCTCCGTTCCGGATGCGTTGGCTATCGAGATCCTCCAGCGTGCGGCGGATTTCATCGATCGGAACTCTGATCGGCTCCTGGCGGGGCATCGTCGAGGTTGTCGTCGAAAGATCTGCGCAGCGGAGATGGGAAGGACAGACGCAAAGACCAAAAGAACGCAAACGATGCGGCCATGGTTGGTATCAAGAAGGCCCAGACGAGGGCCGCCTAGAGATGATTTTGACGCAGGCCACGTCGCCGGTGGCGCGGAACCTCGGCGACCCTGTTTCAGAACCCACCACCGCATCGAGGCGATCGTCGAAAGGCGGCGTCTACAGCCATGGCGGCTTCCTCGCTGGCCTGCCAGGCACGTACGAGAAGCAGAATTCACGTCGGTGTGGCGGGCCTGGTTGCATCGCTACTTTCCCGACTTCCCCTTGGCCCGTCTTGGGGTGGTAAGGAGATCTGGGGCGCCGTGCATCTGGCTGCATGATGATATGAAGCAGAAGCGGTGAGGGGCAGAGGCAGCGGGGTTATTATCTAGAAGAAGGATGAAAAAGGAAAAGAGATAGGACGAGGCAAGTTACAAACGCAATTGGAGTGAGACATCGAGAATAGGAAAGGAATCAATTTATTAACGCCCGGCGGCTTATGCCGAAAGGGCACTAATTACTAGTTAGTATATCCATACATTGCCCAAATTATGTCCTGGTCTCCTTCAGCCCATACTATGTCCGCTTGTTGCTCATACTTCCCTTACGTATTGTCTCTCTCTCCTTCTCTGCGGATTCCCACGGGTTAGTAGTATTATTGGCGAACTACCTTGAAGCCTATTCTTCAAGTGTTCGGTGTCCTATCTACGGCGGCTGAAGCGGTGTTCGCTGTTTTGGCACGTGGTGAGTGTCGAGTTTGGCTGGAAATAAGAGTGTTGAGTTTTAGCTGGGAATAGATAGAGAATAGGGCGCGAGAAAGATATGTGGCTATAAGTGGCTATGCAAATGGGCTTAAAAAGCAGGGATCGGAGAAGGAACCGTGCGGTCAGGGGGTGGGAATGAGGGCGCGGAAGGAAGAACCTTCGTCACTAACGTTCCTCAGGCAAATCCCAGACAGTATTGTTTGCACCCTGATTCGCTAACTAGTCGCATAGTGGCTGATAGCTATCCCGAGTCAACACTTCACGGCATGGACCTGTCACCGATACAGCCAGACTGGATCCCCGAAAATGTCTCATTCGTAGTCGACGACATTGAGCACGAAGCGGGGTGGACGTACCCTGAAAACAAGTTTGATTACATTCATATGCGTCACACCTTGCCCTTTATACGAGACCGCCCAGAGCTATGGGAGAGGATATATCAGTTTGCCTCCCCATGCAGAGTACTTGCCTCATGTTTCATCCCTACTAACCAACTCCTAGACACTTAAAGCCGGGCGGGTGGTTTGAGCTTCAGGAGTTTCACTACACAGCTGCTTGCGATGATAGCTCCTGCGACGGGCCTTACGCATGGCGTGACTTCATCAATTACCTCGAGGCTGGCATGGCAAACCTGGGGTCTGACATGCACGGTATCCTGAAGGCAGAGGAAGAGCTTGCCGCGGCTGGCTTTGAGGATTTGCGGGTCAAGCATCTGAAATGCCCAGTCGGGCCCTGGGCCAAGAAGCAGAAACTCCAGGAATGCGGCCATGTCCTGCGAGATGTCCTCATGTTTGGCGTCAACGGCCTCGCGAGAAAACCTTTCCGCGATGGCCTCAATTGGACCGACATCCAAATCGAAGTGTTCCTTGTCGAAGTGCGAAAAGCAATTACCAAGGAGAGGAACGGCCTGCCCAAGTTCCATTCATACTATCCCTTTCGCAGCGTCTGGTGCCGCAAACCTCTGAATGCGGCATAACGGCTCAGTGACCTAGGTACCGGCGACAGTTTAATCTTCCGGGAGAAGGAAAGACTTTTGGCATCCAAGGGTTAGGGGCAATTTTGCGCTTTAGCTGAACATGTCCTGCAGCCGGAGTTCGGGAAACGCCCCGTCAAGCGAACGCACGTGGATAGGGCATTGCTGCTGCTGTTCTGCGGTGGTTGGGCTGGGATGGCCCGGCAGCTCGATTGTCCAAAACAAGGCCAAGGGAACGACTTTGGCAGGAAGAGACCGAGATTCGATGGGTCGTGCAGCGAAAGACGCGGATTTGGACCACGGTGGGACAACCTGTTGGTGGCCCTGATCCATCATGGTCCAAGTGACATGTCATCTTGCGGAGGATGGTCAGCAAGGATCCTCAGCCCTGGATGCTCACGTCCATCAATACTACCTGTCGCGATAATGTTTCCAGGTCTCGTCACAAGACAAATAGTCTTCTCATCGTCCTCATTGAGATATGAACAGCAGCCGCCGGAATACCATATCGTGCTTCCGCCTGGACCGTTCTGGGCCACCGAGATGTTTGGCCAAAGACGTCTAAGTACAACTTGGCGTAGGGCAAGATAGAGCTAGGGTGGCTCTTTCGAATGACCGACAAGCCTGGCGAATACCACACGGGTGTATGTCCGAGCCTCAAGATGTGGAGCACGTGAGAAAGGCCATTTGGGATAATGCTATACCATCCCCCACCACTTAAAGAATCACACCACTTAAAGCATAGCACAAAAAATCATCGCCCCATACAAACCCTACCATTTTATTTGCACCGCATTTTGGCACAATGAAGCTCTTCGCGAAAAAAAAAAACTTGTAGTGCATTATTTTTTACGTGGTGTCTTACCCTGGGTCATTTTACTTCCGACTTTGTACGTATCATGGGGGTTTTAAGACATTGAAAAATTTGCATTTCTCGCTCTCTCATCCTTCAACTCCCACAAAGTGTTGGATGATGACCCTGTATGACGAAACCTCGGATAGATTGATATCCTGACCTTAGTCAGAAGGGGGGTATGAAAACCCCTCTTCCGGCCGATCCGGATGACCGGCACAAGTAATCATCAACATCATCATCACTGTATTGATCCCTATCTATTTGATCGAATTGACCGTAACGGATTCATCACAAAGTTAAAAAGACTCTCTACGTAGTTTACACGCATAAAATATCTCTAAAATGGGTCGATATGTTTATACCGAAAAAGACGTTATCGATGCTATATTCGATATTACCGACGGTTGTCTATCACAATACCAGGCCTCCGAAAAGTACGGGGTGCCTCAACCAGTCCTCTCGAAAAGACTTTCTGGCCAGAAGAGCAGGAAAGAGTCTACCCACCCTCACCAACGTATTTCTACGAGTCAAGAGGACCGCCTCGTTCGTTGGCTTCTGCGGCAGGAGTCCCTGGGCTACGCTCTCACGCATAGCCAACTTCGAAGCTGCGTCGAAGCCCTCCTCCGTCAACAGGGAGATAACAAGCCATTGGGTAAAAACTGGACCACCAGGTTCATCAAGCGTCATTCAAAATTATCTACCAAGCTTGGGAAACGCCAGGAAGCCGCCAGATTTGACGGGTTTACGCCTAAAGCCGTTCATTGGTACTTTGATATTCGGGAGACGGAGTACGGCTGGATCAAGCCTGAGAACACGGTTAACGTGGACGAGGGCGGCATAATGGCGGGTTTCGGTAAGTCCTCTATAAGTCCCCTATGGGTTTTTATAGGTCATAACTAATTGGTTGTCCATGAGGCCTGGACAGCCTCGTAATCGGGAGCTCCGACCCGAAGAAGAAGGCGTTATTAAAAGGCGTCCAGTCACGCAACTGGACCTCGTTTATTGAGGCTGTCACCGCAACTGGCCGTGCTTTGAAACCGGGAATTATCTTTAAAGGAAAAGAGCTGCAGAAGCAGTGGTTTCTTAACGAATTCGAATTAATAGCGGACTGGCACTACATCACATCCCCGAACGGCTGGACCGACAACCATATAGCTCTCGAGTGGTTGAAGGACGTTTATCTACCTCAAACGGAGCCTCGTGATGCATCGGATGCGAGACTTATTATCCTTGACGGTCACGGGAGCCATGCGCAGGTGAGTATTTTGGTGTTTTCGCCGCGGAGTCACCCGCTATAGGGTCACTAACGAGCAGTCAGGACGAGTGGATGGCGACGTGCTTTCTGAACAACGTCTACTGCTGTTACCTACCAGCACATTGCTCTCATGGTTTGCAACCGTTAGATAATGGAATTTTTAATGTCATCAAAGGTGCGTATCGGAAAGAACTCCAAAAGCTGGCTAGTTTGACCGATTCTGCGCCGGTTGACAAAGTCAACTTTATTCGGGCATACGCGAAAGCCAGAGAGGCGGGCATGAGGAAGGAAATTATCTTATCCGGCTGGAGGTTTACTGGAAATTGGCCTATAAATCGTCACAAAGCTCTAACACATCCGGAAATTCAACCGGACAAAGAAAAAGTTCTGGAAAGATTTAAGACGCCCAGCCCTCCTCAACTGCACTCAGATGATACGCCGAAAACGAGCCGCCAGGTGAGAGATATGGCCAAGCACCGAAGTCGTCCGACCAGGCGGAAGTACAGTAAGATCGCAAAGGGCCTGGAAGCTTTAGAGATGAAGGTGGCCGTTCAGAGTGCCCGGATTACTGGCCTGGAGGAGCAAATGGCCCAGCTGCGACGAGGGAAGAAAAGAAAGGCGGTACCAAACCCGAACCGACGATTCATGGATCTAGCGGAGGCTCTAGCGGCTGGAGAAGATCTTTCTAACTCAAAGGAGGCAGAAATAGAGGTGGATGTGGATGAGGAGGTCGAGTCGGTGATTGAGGTGGGTGTCAGGTCAGAGGACGAAAGTGAGGACTTTATGGTCGTAACAAAGCACTGCTAGCGCACACGCAGCGGTCGAGAGGTCAAAAAACCACGCAGAGAGTAAAATTCAAGCAATTCTCTATAGAACACCCGAGTGGCTTCATTTTTAATGGACAAGGTGGTTGGTTTCTGCGTGGATCAAATATTGGATTTTGTATGGGGTGATCCTTTTTTGTGCTATGCTTTAAGTGGTGTGATTCTTTAAGTGGTGGGGGATGGTAGACAAATGCTTACGAATGCTCGGCGTCCATCTTTGTCAGGTTTCTGATGCTTTTGGAGAGGAGGCGAGCGATCCAAAGGTCGAGGATGATGTTACTCCAATAGAAAAGTGAAGACGTTCCCGGCAGTGGTTCGTTTCCTGCGATGACTTATGCGCTAGGTTCGCTTTCCGGATGGTGATGTTGAACGACCCAAACGAATACATACCGGACGCCCGGCGAATGGTCGAGTTCTGTACCGGTTCGAAACAATAGTTTCGGTCGAGAGATAGGCTAGCGAGCATTGTGCTCGGTGACAAAACTCGAGCTTACCAAAATCTATTTCCATTTCTAGAGCTAAGCTCCTAGGGCATTTCACGAATGATACTCTTGATACAAATCCCATCGCAATCATTCGTTTTGGCTAAATTTAACGGAACAAGGGAGAATATCAGTCCACCCGACTCTTCTGCAAGCTACTGAGCAAGTTTACACTCAATGATTGCCTCCACGCCGTTTCCTGGGTCCCAAAATTTGCAGATCTTCAGGCCACAGCGCTTCTCAAGAAGCTCCCGCCAGTCATCTTCCGTTCGCTCCCGCGCACTAAACAGCACCATCATGTACACATCCAGGTACGTCGCCTCCCAGTTCGCTCCCATGGCGGGGATGACGTGTTCGTTCAGGAGCAACTTGCTGTAACCCGGTATCATGGCCTCCTTGACCTGTTTGACAATCTCAACGCATTTGTCATCTGGGTAGTCATGCAAAATTTGGTGCATGTAGTATGCCCGGGCCCCCTTGATTGGCTGCGGGGTTAGGAAATCGTGTGGCATACGCTCGATATCCCCCTCCAAATTAGTGATCTTGTCGAGGACGCGCGGCAGGTCTTGCAGAATGAGGCGACCTGGGGCATTGGGGTACTTGCAACGAAACTCAGCCAGGTCATGGCCATAGCTGCCTCCGATGTCGACAAGCATCACGGGTTTCCCGTTGTCACCCTCATGGTCGAAATCGGAGATGAGGTTGTCTTGTACTGGGTAGACTTCTGGATCCATCCAGCTGGGTCGACCGAGGCGGTAGCCACCCATGTGGTTGTTGAATTGTGTTGCATAAGGGGGATTTGCCTGCAGCCAGTCGAAGAAGGGCATTTCCGTTCGGTGACCAAAGGTCTGAGGGTTATTTGAAAGCTCTTTTGGAGACCGGTACCCGTTCATCCTGAGCCACTTGTGAAAGTATGCCATAGGTTCAATTTTGGCGTAGGCGCTACATGGGGTCAGCCCTCACATATTCACCGGGATTAATGACAATCGCAGATAACTCACTACAAAGGGTACCCGTCTGCGACGACAGGTAGAGCCATAGCCTTGGTAAAATTAGTGGGCTTGTACTCATCAGGGCCCGTTTGGCAAATGTATCCCATGGCTGCAAGATGCCTCAGGATACGCCCTGTTGTGCTGTAAGCAAAGGCCTACGCTACATGTGTCAGCCACAACGGCTTAACTCACGCAAGAGATCGACCTCAAATCCCAGTGCCTTGGCTAGGCTCTCAACCTTATTTGGGCTTCCTCCCCCAGCGGCCATCTGCTTGAAGAGCCCAACGTCGTTTCCTAGTGCAAGGCAAAAAAAGGAAGCAGTCTGAAAAGGTTAGCAGATATAATCTCGAGGGACACAGTCGTGCTTCCTCACTTGTGCACCGCAATGCTTCAGCATGGTTTCTCGAGGAGTCTCTAGAGCACGCACGAGAGATCTTGCCTTCTCCAACAATGCGAGGCGACTGTCGCGGTCGTCACCCGACAGATTCTTGCCGAGGGCTGAGATATCATCAAGTAAACTGGGGACGACGCCGATGTCACACGGGGACGAGGCAATAGAGATGTCAATCATTTCTTGACTCCTAATATTGCCAGTACCTTCGGATGTTGCCATTTTAAGACCTTGAACGGAAGTCAGGAAAGGAACGAGAAGCAGGTATTACAACCTCTACTATTAGGTGACGGGAGTACTTATATACACACCTGTCAGTGTCCATGACTAAGAATCAGAGAGGGATTAATAGGTATCTATAAACCAATGTACCACTGGCGGCGTACCGCGTGGATTGATTTCTGTCATCGAGGCACCAGGGAGGCTGCTATGAGGAACCCCGCATTTTTGTCAAAGATAAGGCTATGACGTATAGAAGATGAGCTCCACAATCTTGGAGACCCTCGTTTGCTTTTCCTAACCATATTAGGTGTAAGAATTTCGAAAGTTCCGCGATACGCCGCGTACTTTGATACCGAGGGCTAATTTTTGACCTTCTATGCGGCCGTGCAGGACATGGGTACCGACGACTGACAGGTGTACAGCGAGTAATGGTGTGACGTGGGCGAGCTAAAAGCAAGGGTCTGCTGACGTGGCAATGGTGGTGCTGTATCTGGTTGTAGCTCCGTGGAAGTCGATTGGAGGATGAAATCTCAAGTATTCTCTACTGTTGACCGTAGCAGGAGACCCTTCACGTCACGGACCTCAGAAACGCCTCAATAGCTGTAGCCGTATGTGGAAGCCTGAATGCGTTAGGTGCAATATTTCCCCGCAAGGTGGAATACATTAATCACTTGCGGAAGGACAAAGGTGCAATCAATCCGCCCGAGTCACCTGCGAACGTCAGTTAAGCACCATAATACACATGATAAAGTTGTCACTTTAAAGACTTGGTCTCGTTAATGAGGTGAGCCTTGCTGGGGCCTTGACTCACAGGAAGTTTTGTTAACGTCGACTATGAGGAACACTCGACAAGTCTCCCAAGCCAATTTCGTTGAAGCAAATGGCATCTCCATTCCGTGATCAGACCACAGACAGTGTTCGTGATACATTGAGAGAGAAGCAGCCTCCGACAGGTGCACACGATGTTACCATTGAGTCGTCACGGTCTCGGCCGCCCGCATTCACCTGCTCCGGTACTGATTGAGAGCATCGCTACGGGCGTCCCCGACTGCATGCGGAAGCAATGTGACACTGCGCACCTGGTAGCGACTCAGTATAACTCGAACCCAGAGCAACAAGAGCGCATCCGACGTCTCTACGCGAAAACGTGCATCGACAAACGTCACATGGCTGTGGACCCTTTGAGCCCAACCTTCGACAGACACATGTCCATTCGGCAACGCATGGACCTTTTCCTCGAGCATGCGGTGCCTCTGGCGGTCGACGTCTCATTGCGTGCCCTAGCCGGGAGTGGAGTAAAGAACCCAGCAGAGGAAGTTGGATTACTGGTGCTGGTGACCAGCACTGGATTTGTGGCTCCCGGCGTCGACATCGCTATTGCCAAGGGTCTACGACTCTCAGCATCCGTGAGCCGCGCCGTGGTTAACTTCATGGGGTGTGCAGCTGCCATGAACGGGCTGCGTGTGGCAGCCGACTACGTGCGTTGTCGTCTCGGCTCAAAAGCGTTGGTGTGTTGTGTCGAGCTGTCCAGTGTGAATGCTGTGTTCGCCGATAATCCTAACGATGTCATAATTTCCAGCCTGTTCGGAGATGGATGCGCCGCCATGGTAGTCTCGGGTATCGGCCAGGAGCAGGCGAAGCACAAATTACAGCCTGGGCAAGTCATCGTTCACGACCAATTCAGCTGTTTGGTGGATGATACTCTGGACGGAATCAACCTCAGGGTCAATCACAATGGCATAACTTGCGAATTATCACCAAAGCTACCCTCATATATCTACGCCGGTCTGGCTCCAGTGATCACCAAGGTGCTGAGCCGCCATGGAATGACCAAGTCTGATGTACACTTATGGGCGATTCATCCCGGTGGTCCAAAGATTATCCAAGAATCGCTCCGTGCGCTTGACCTGGACAGTCGCGTGGCGGCAAAGAGTTGGGATGCGCTAAGTGAATTTGGGAATATGCTTAGTGTATCCTTGCCCTTCGTGCTGCAACGAATGGTCGCAGTGGCCAATTTAGAGAGAACTAATCAAACGGGCCTGGCTTTTTCCTTTGCCCCTGGAGTAACGGTGGAGGGATTCCTCTTCGAAGTGGTTAATCCGACCTCCGCCTCTGCCCTACGATTAGTCAATCGCCCCCGTTTAGGCTTGAAAACGATTGCCCTTTCGACGCTGGGCTGCCTAGGACTCAGACGTCCCCGCTTCTGAGCACCTGGTGTACGTTTTCGTACCCACGCGGTGGAACTTCTGCGACTGAGCTGCTGGAAGTATCCTGAACAATGCTAGAGAGCGGATATTGAAATTGTCACGAGTTCACTTTTCATTGATTGTATCTGAGTTTTTGTTCTTGGGTGATTTTCCCGTTCGTTGTCGTGATACAAACACTCGTGCAATCCATCCCAAAGTAATATCGTTATATCCCTTTTTATGCACGCCTTATCACACAGTGTTAGATAGGCGCCTCAAGCCTCGATAAGTAGCAAGGAATTCCAAGGATATTCTCAATATAGGGATATTTCCATAAGAGACAGGGCTATTGTTACGAGGAGCTACAGCTGCCCAATGAGTGTATAGGATTGAGATAATAAAAGAGCTTTGTTTTCTACATAATAGAGAGCGGTATTTGCATAATGGAGCGGACCCCCTATTGTGGGTCCGCGCGGTCCAATCATTACAGCGCTCCTTCAACAGGTATAAAACACCCTCCAGTACCTCAACCTAACATATTGTCAGACAATTGGTTCTACAGGGATCATTGATGGCACCAGTCAATTTATGAGAATTACCTAAAGAACAAAAGAAATTAAGCAGCCATGTGTTCGGCACGGCTCGCTAAAGGACAGTGGAACCTGTTGGTGATATGCGACACATATCTTTCTCGTTCAGCATCATGTTATGCAAATTCACTCAGTCCTTCACATCTTGCCATTGGTCTGACCATTCGTGGTCCCGTACGCAAGCCCAGTATTCCGGTTAATCTTCAAGTTCACCTTGGCATCTCTTGCTATCGTAGCCTCCTGCTTTAGCCTTATATTGCTCCATCTGAGCCAGCTCCTCAAACTTCCTCTTGACGTCATTACGAGGGACGGGGACGTTAGCAAGCCCGATCATGGCCAGAGCGCCCCAGAAGAGGGCGTAGATGTAGTAGTACAGGTTGATGCTACCAAGGTAGATGACGGGGATGATGACCATGGGGATGTTGCCAAAGAGGCCCGAGCGGCGAGAAATGGTCTCCCACAGCTCGCCGGTGAGAATCTCGGCGGCGCCGTCGAACTTCCAGGGCCCGACCATGCGGAACTTGGCGTTGAAATTGGCACCGCCGGCCCAGATGTAGGGGAGGCGCCAGCCGCGGCGGGTGCGGATGGCGATGCGGAGGACGTCGGTGATGGAGGGGGCCATGTCCATGTCCTTGGCGAGCTGGTACGTGTAGCTGTCGTGCTCAACGCCGTAGGAGACGCGGTCGCTGGGTGGGTGGATCATGCGGTAGTGCCACTCATCATCCTGGAGGAGGGGGCGGGGGACGCGGTCGAGGAGGTGGGTGGCGAACAGCATAGCCTGCATTTCGGCGAGGGGAGGGATGGCGCCGTAGCCGGGGCGCAGGAAGCCGATGAAGCCGACGGTGGGGTCGTCGGAGGACCAGATCTGGCGGACGTCGGCATCGTGGGATACGGGGTAAGGACGGCGGCCGGCGTTGTGTTCGGTGTTGAGGAAGGGGAACTGGGGGATGTAGCCAGTCGCGAAGATGATCATATCAGGCTTGACGACGGACTTTCTGATGCGCTTAGCCTCAGGACGGCCGTTGTCGGGGAAGTGGGCGACCCCGTCTGGCGTGATGTGCGAGGGGAAAGGGGCCGTGTCGATGGTGCGTTTGGCCGGGATGATGGCCGTGTTGAAGAAGAATTGGCGAATACGGGTGGCCAATGGCCACTCAGTCGGGCGCCAGGGCGTAGAGACGGAGTTCTGGATGCGCTGCCAGGCCTTGTTCCAGAATACTGCGACGGCCTTAGTTATGTCCTTGCGAAGTAGAAGTAGCACGAGGTTGACTTACATCGCGAAGCGTGGAAACGCTCGCTAAAGATCTGGCCGACATGCTGGTCGACACCATATTCCGAACCGCCGCAGATCCAGCATCCGGCAGGCAGAGCAAGGAAGTGGTAATAGTCCCAAACAATCATGGTGTCTCGCACCATAGGGTGGACATACATGGAGTCGAAGAGAGTGACTTGGCTGACATCGAGGGGCAATTGGGGGGTGTCATAGTCTTTGTCTCCACGTAGCCATGGCAGGAAGCGCTGCCCCGGAGCGCGCTTGGGAGCACCGATCCAGCCATCGCGATGACAAAAGACGACTCTCTTGGTAGGGGAGGTGATGGCGAGATAGCACATGTCGCAACCCGTCTCGCCGCTGCCAAGGACCATGACGGTCTTGTCCGTGCCAAACTGCTCACGCTTCTTGAAGTCTTGTGAATGCAGCACTTCGGGAACGTTCTCGATGCCAGGAATATCTGGGACGTGCGCCTTTGAGTGGACGCCCGAGCACACAGCGATGGCATCACACTCCCATTCGACCTCCTTACCATCGGGCCCCCTGTAACTGACGACATGCTCGCTCACGTCTCCTCTCCTGATGCCCGTGACGGAGGTGCTGAGGTGAATGTACGGCCACAAGTTGAAGTGTGTAGTGTAGTCCTCCAGATACTCTCTGTAGCGCTCGGCAGAGAGGAAGTCGTTGTCTTCAGGGCGGGGACGGAAGTCGGAGAAGGTGGTGAGGAACTTGGAGGAGACGAGCTCGGTATCCTCATAGACGTGGTGGAGGAAAACACCGCCAACCTTGTCGTAGGACTCGAAGAGCTGAAGCTCAAAGGGCTCGGCTGATGGAAAATACTCATGGGCGGTTGCTAGCGTTTTGAGCTGGACGAGGCCAGAAGGGCCGGCTCCGATTATAGCAACGCGCATGTTGCGAACTTTGCCTAGGATGCTTGAAGAATGATGATGATATAAAAAGATGAGGTTTGTAGAGGGAGATGTGTAAATCGTACACGGTGGGAAGAATTCAAGTTGAAAAGGAAGAGAAAAGAGAAAACTTATTGCCCGCTGGGGTTAAGCTGAACGAGTTGCGGCCAGTTCTGACTCTGTCGACGCTCCTGACTTCAGTCCTCCTTCGCTGTCGGAGACATAGAGTCTCAGGCGAGGCAGCTTCCCAGGCCGCCGTGCCATCTGTCCCCCTTTCCCGGCCACTCACCACCCACCCTCTTCACTCGTTCTGTGACCCTGGCCTTTTTCAAGTCCCTACTTCCACCTTGACGTGGCTCTTGACGATTAGGGCCACGGCAACATACCCACCTACATCCGCAACCCCCATCACGCTGCATCGGCCGGGATGAGTCTAGTCGGAGACCTCTCCATCCCTCTCGCTCTGCCGCTGCTGCGCCGTGGCTCGTCTTCATTCGTCGAGGCCTTTCCGGACCGATGCTATAAGCGATTTGAGCGGATGGTTCCGTTGGTGCTGGGTGCCCCGTTGTTGGGCTGTGGTTGCCACATCCTTACGGCAACAAGTATTTAATTCTTTTTGAGCTTGCAACTTTGGACTCCGTATTAACCATAATATCCTCTAAAAAAACGACGACGACGACGACGACGACGACGACGAAGGTGTTTCCGTATTTGGGGATAATGAGAGGTAAGTTGAGGTAGACTTAACGATCAGTTTACATGTTCGCGCCCAACCCCGAGAGTATTTTCTGGCCGTTTGCAGCTCCGGTGTCTTTGTAGACTGGGGCACGGCGGCCAGCTATAGGGTTAAGGTTATCACCCTTGTAGCTATACTTCTGTCGGTTTGACTCGATTGCCCAAATGCAACCATCTTCGCAACCCCCCGTCTCCAAGGCCGCAGGGGTCTCTATCCAGCTGACCCCGATACATGTGCCTACTCTTTGACCGGCATGGCTGATATGTGCGCAGGAACGACGCCGCTAGCTCTACGAATGGTCCTGATGCTTGTCCTGCGGAAGACATGGCTGACTTGTCTGCAACTTGTCGGAGTTGGTCCAGTATGGCACTTGTCTGCAACTTATCGGAGTGGGTCCAGTATGGCACTTCTGCAACTTATCGGAGTTGGTCCAGTGTGGCCGCAGGAGAAACAGCAATGCGCAGCTAAAATCGCGCCTATGCCACTCGGTGCCTGTAGCCCACCCAGATGAGGAGGAATCACTCCTCAGGCATCCTGTCGCGGGGCTCGAATGAGCTGGTGCTGGAGGAATTGCCAATGGCGGAGATTGATCACAGTGGGTGCATTGGTGACCAGAGGGGCCCGGCAGGAGAAGGTAACCTCCTGCCGTTGAGTTACTTGCCTTAGGAAATGCATCATCCAGAAATCAAGCATTTCTCCTGTTTCCATGTTAAGCAATAGACCTCCCATAGAAGCCCCCAAGCCAATCTGTAGCCTAGTGTTGACACGCAGCGGATTTCATAAAGCCACGACTACAACACGAAAACGGTCACGTACCTTGGTGCGTTTTTAAGTTTGTAATGACGTGTGACATAGAGGGTGGTTATTTCGCTCTGCAGTTCGGGCAGTGATGCATTTTTCTACTAGCTTCGCTGTGCCGTTTAGGCAGAAATGCATTTGTCTAGCACCACTGCAGGACACCCAATAGACAAAGCACACCAGGACCGCAAGCACGCCTCATCCCTCTCGGATGCCACACCGTACTAAATGTCGGTAAAAAAAAATCTGAAAGCGATCGAGGGAAATGAGTAGTCAACGGGTCTAATGAGCTAATCTTTGCTCAGTCTCCGTCTGATGGATCCGGAGAAATATATTGATTATCAATCTTTTTTCTTGCACTAAGGATCTGCAGTTTCCACAGCTAAGAATCCTTGTCACGAGCAGGCCGGAACTGCCGATTCGAGTCTTTTTAGAAGAGGCTAATAAGATATGTAAATATGCCCTTGGTATTCTTATTAAACCTAACTTGGTAAGAAAGAATAACGTGGTTCACATGCGAGCGGAACACACGGGCGAGCGGAACACTTTTCATGGGTTAACATCATAAACAACGCAACAATTCCACCACAACACCCGAAATCAATTGAAACTACTTAGAACCCTCTTCTTCAGAGGCTTCTTTTACAATTTGACACGTATGCGTATTGTGACCAGTCTCACCGCAGTTGCCACAGCGCCGCGCACGTGTTTTTACCCTCGGCTTCCGACCCCCCCAAGCCTGCGTTTCCTGTTTTATTTGCTGTACAAGATCAAGCTGGTCCTGCAAATCCTGGCCCTCCTGTATAGAAAGCGTTCCTCCTTCCCGCAGACGAGTTTTCTTTGCCCTCCGGTGTTTGCTAAGCGCCTCGTTGGCGGCTCGGAGGTCCCGGATCTCAGACTGCATCAAGGCCATCTTGTGAATTATTGCTAGCGAACCCTTAGCAAACTGATCAACTGCAGAGATAATGTGTGTTGGCGAGCTATTTTGATGCTGGGAGATTCGCTTCTTTATGAAAGTAGACTGTGAAGAGGCCTCGATTGGGTTGTTTGGTGTCTTAGAAATCCAGGTGTGGGAGCTTCCTGGCCGTGAGTTCGATGGTGTTGGGGTCCAGATATGTAGATTGTGAGGGAACGATCATGTGACTTTCATACTTTATGAATAGTCTCACTTTATGAATATTGTGTAAATAGCTTTAAGTCAGAGCTTTCCTTAGGAATCTCTTTCTCTCCTTGTAAACAATCATTTTACCCAAGTCGCACCCGACCTCGTTCGTGCTCTTGTACCGTCACACTGGAGACGAGCTCTCTTCAGAGGACTGGGCCATCTTGGGGAAGATCAAGTCCTTCTTAGAGAAGCTGAAGATGGCGACCAAGGCTCTCGAGTCATCGTTTGCAACACTCGACAACGTCCTCTTGGCTATGGACTTCGTTTTGGCACAATTCGAAGCAGGGAAGGGGGCACATATTGACGATCCGATGATGGCGCCAATGTATAACTCGGGCTGGGCAAAGTTGGACAAGTACTACCGGCTCACTGATGAATCGCCTGCCTACGTTGCAGCCATCGTGCTCCACCACTTCGCATAAATGGCACTACATACAGGATAACTGGAAAAAGGAGTGGGTTGAGTCGTCAAAGAAGTTGATTGAGATGCTGTGGAACGAATACAAACCTGTGGAATCACCTCTTCCTCTCTGCGATTGCCCATCGACGACCAAGAACGAGTTCTTGAATTGGCGGAACAAGCACCTGCAGCCGTCACTCATCACGGACGAGTACGAGCGTTATTGCAAGTCTGAACGGGTTTATGGTTTTACAAGCGCCCTTGCATGGTGGCTAGAGGAGACGCAGCAGGAAATCTACCCGAGCCTGAGCAAGATGGCCGTGGATATACTGTCAATTCCTGCAATGTCTGCGGAGCCCGAACGACTCTTCTCTGGGGCAAAGATAACGATTACGGACCGTCGAAATCGACTTGGGAGTGATGTAATTGAAGCATTGGAGTGCCTGAAGTCATGGTTCGGGATACGAGACTTTCAAGTAGACGATGCTTTAGCCGCCGCATCTGAATGATGAAGATCACGTGTAATATATGGGATGTATTGCCATACTGCCAATATATTGGGTTCTTGGCAATATAATACAATATGGGTAATGTTTATATTGGGTAATACAATATGCACCTCTTGACAATACAATAATATTGCGAGGGGGTCCATATTGCCATTATCGTATTGTTTATATTAAAATACTTCGAACACCCGTTAAGTTGCCAAGGCAAGGGACTTAATGGCTGAATATCCAGCCCGAAGGGTAAATACCGTATACCTGCTATTAAACTCTCCTGGGGGAACCCCCTAGAAGCCCCCTTTCGACTGCAGCGGTAACCAGCTGTTAAACCACTTCAAACCTGTAGTCAGGGAGTTGACTGATAGACATAGGGGTCCCTCTACCACTTCCTGACAGGCCCAATCAACTATGTACTGTATATCGAATTTCCCCTTTCCCTGTAGCTTATAGGAAAACGCCATTTAGTCAATGTAGCGTGGTGGATACGGCGGATCAGTCAGCTGTTGAGTCTGACGGCGTTGTTGGTCAGCAAGGCGCATCTTCATCCCTGCCTTATAGTTAGCCACAAACGCAGTACGTAGGAAACGCAGGCGTATAAACCTTCCGTGGGCGTGTGGTTATAGAGGCTCTGACGGTCGAAAGGCGCCTCAAGGAGTAGGCCTTGCAGCGAGGTAACTCGTGAGACGGCAACATAACTAATACCGGCCTGGAAGTCGCGTGTAGCGAGGTCAGTAACTATCTGATCCTTCGTTAGGCTCTGGCATTTGTGAACAGTAATAGCAAATGCCACGATCAGGGGAAACTGCGTGCGAGCGCAGGTCTCGTTGCCCACTAGGAAATCACGCGTGACTGGAAGGATGGGTACGATTTTCCTGCCCTCGTTAGTTGTTAGATACGGCGGTCCATCGTAGCTATCGAAATCCACCATAATAACGGCTGGGGGGTCTTCCCGTGGTTTGGCGCCTGCATTCCAGGCGATATCGTATACAGTACCCTGGGCGCCGTTAACTAGGCCAGCTGGCTGCCATAGATTAGTCGTGAGCATTACCCTGGCGCCCTTAGCAGCAGGGAACTTGTTGGATAGATTGCCAGCGTTGTCGCTTGGCGCCTGCCCCGCGCCGTTGCCCTGATTCTTTGCCTCCACCTGTATTGCCGGGGCGTTGAGGTGTACCATATGCTCGTAATTGTATTCGTTGACGCGGGCTTTTGTAGAATACACCCGCAAAGCGGCCCTGAATCTGTCAACCTCGCTCTGTGTTAGCTTGGCCTGTACCCGATTGCTAAGGAGGTTCCAGGACGGTATAGATAACTTAACTTCACGCAGTTCTTGCAAGGCCTGACGGAACCGGGCCTGATCGTCCCCAGCCTGGCGCTGTACCGTCGTCAGGAAGACGGTGC